ATTTGTATAGTTATCTTTTAGTGTTTATATTTACTAAAATAATAAAAGTTATTGGAATGAAAATATATTTTAATCAAATGCAAACATTTTTTAAATTAAAATATTTGATAAGTTTTAAAAAAATATATTAATTTTAATGGTATATTTAGATTTAAAAGATAAATACAATAACGATATAGTTAAAAAGTTTCATCTCTTATTTTTTAATAAAAATTTAAAATTATTTTTTCTCAAACAAATGGAGGACTAATTAAGCGTTTATTTATTTATAATAAAAAATATATTTTCGATAAAAATATCTTAAATAAAAAGAATTATGATTAAGATTAATTTTAATATATATTTTAATTGTGTTTAGTAATATAAGTTTAATTCTTTAAGAATTAAGTATACTCAGTTTTAATATAAATTTCAACATAAATTCCTAAAAAATTCAACATCATTATGACTTTACCTTAACTTTACCGATACACAATGTTGGCAAACGACCAACACTTACAATACAAGCAGATCCGCTAACAGATTTTCTGAACTTTGATCAAAGCCCTGTGAAGTATACCCCTGTGATTAAGTTTGGTCAAATCTTGAGTGAGTGCAGTGACTGTTGATGCAACTAACTTAAAGTTCGAAAATAATAAATTTATGTTAAAACCAATTTAATATTATCTTTAACTTTTAATCAGTTATACGATTGTGGAAGAATTATTTCATTTTGAAATTTGAATGATATCAGCTACAGCAAACGTGAAGCTGTTAGGTAACTCTTAATAGTTCATATCAGTCTTTTTCATGACTATTTTATTAAAAATTGCTGATCCTAAGATAGAATTTGATCAATATTATTAGTGTTTTCATTTTGCAAACAATAGATAACTGGTAATGATCATTGAAGTAAAATGTGAAATTTTATTACTAAAAGATAGAAAAAAAATATATGCATATAATATTATATTTAAGATTGTTTCTTAGATGATTTAAAAATATTCTAAAAAAGGGAAAGAAGCTTATATATTATGTACATCTTCCCTGTGACGAGTCACAAACATATAATTACAGTACTCCAACAAAGATGAAGGCACAAATAAGAGGAATTATTCATTTAAAAGCAAAACAAAAGAGAAAAACATAATAAGGAAGGGAAATTCAAGAACGAGAAACACAATCACATGTGCCACCGTTTGGTAAGAGAACATGGGACGATAATAATAACTGAGCATAATAGTTTCTGTCTTATTCCCGTAAAAGAGGACCCATCACCCTTTTCTCAAAGGGCAAAGCATTTATGCTTTCCAGAAAGAGATAAAAACTAGAGATTGTATAGCTAAGCTGCGTTTGAATTTGACACATTATCATTCAATTGAAAAAGGGTCAACCAAATCTCCATAGTTCCGTCGTTTCATCATGTGTAGGACCTTATGTTCAATTGGCTGCAATATCATCAATCCCAGTTCTTGCATATTTAGGTAGGCCCCTTTCTTTAAATGTTTAAAGCAAAAGGAGAAAAAAACATGTTTCTTTTAAATTTCGGTGCGTGTTTAATGAAATAAAAAGTGTTATTTTTCAATTATCAAATACAATTAAAATAGGATAAATTTCAAATATAGTTTATATCATAAATATTTTTTATAATATTTAAAAAAAATTAACGTTTTATATCAATACCATGCTAGTATATCAATACCATGGTTTTGGCAAACTAAGGTGGGGCTTAAGAACAGGTTGACTTAAAGAAGTCCAATGCTAGTATATAAGTGATGGCGGAGAAGAAGGGAGTACTTTATGTTCAGGTCATTATTTACAGCAGCAGCGTAACAGTAATAAAATAGAATGTAGCTTGAGATCCAATGCTAGTGTCAATAGGTCATTATTTAAGCTAGAAACAATTAATATATTTTTTATTTTTTTTACTATTTTCTTATAATTTTTTGTTTACAAATTTACTCAAATAATTCATATTGTTTTTTCTTCATTAACAAAACTTATCTATAAGTTTACTTAAACATGTCATTGTCTAACTTCTCATGTCTTATCCATTGAGGGTTTTGGACTCTTTAAAATGATAAGCACGATCAAGTGGTTTTGATCCCTTACACCCACATGAGTGTTTGAAGTTGTAAGCATTAATACTAAGTCTCATATTAAATATCTGACCCAATAACGTGTTGGGTTACTGCAGACTCAGAGATGTTAGTTCTAAATTGTGGATCTTCTTGAATTGATGCTAAACACATGTAATAATATTCAAGATTAATTTAATTGCACGAATTAGTTAGGCAATTTTTCAATTTTAATTAATTAGCTAGTGACATTAAAAATACTTGTGGTTTTAATTATACTTCAACTTTATCCATTAAAACATGTGTATCAAATTTTACTGTTATAAGATTCACTTGAAACACCAAACTGGTGAAGTACATTCATTACAATCTCAACAAACAAGGTAGAGAGCTATAATTATGGATCCCTAAAAGGCAGGGAACTAGAAGAATATAGCTCCTGTAAAATTGTGTGGTCATCATCAACCTTTGGCAAATGACACACATACGTTAATACAGCTTATGTATGAAGCATGAATTCGTAAGAAAATGTCCTTTTTAGAACTGTTCATGTTAGCTTTTGTTGATTCGGTGCTCCTCATTGATTGAAAATCATAGGGTCGTTGAACACAGCAGTACGTCTTTTCATATGCTCTCCTTATAAGAATTCACCAGTTCCAATTTATTTTAGTGCTCTACAATTATTCATTATTTTAAGGATATTGGTTAAAATAATACTCAGAAATTAATCGTGATACGATGTGTTGGTAATTTTTTATATAAATATACAAATATTTTAATTGTTTTATTTAATATTTTAAAGATATTTTCTTAAAAAGCTTTGGTGATGTAGTGTTTGTGTGTCAGAAAAGACAAGGAAGACAAAGAAAACCCCACAAAGTGATTGCAAAACGCAAAGCTCTCTTACTATTAAGTCTAAATATGGTTGCTCTTCGCATCGCAAATGAAAGCCTTCTTTTTTTAGTGAGCAAAGGCTTATAATTTTGTCCCCTTCAGCCACCACACGCTTCATCATAGCTGTTGAGTGCCAAGCTACAGCATCCAAAAGTTCTACTCATTTTACCATACTATATCATTTTTTTTAAAATTTTATATACACAATAAATTCAATATTTATTTATATCTTTTGGAAACATATTATACGCAAGTAAAGTAGTTTAATGAATGTAAACATGCTAAAATTTGTGTTAGTTGGCTGTTTTATATAATCATAATCAAGCTCTTCTACTAAAACAATTACAGATGACAAAATATATATAATTAATCTTATGTCAACGTACTATTTATATAAAACTAAAGTGGTTAAAATTCACTTTAATCTTTGGCTCACTCCTCCCTCCCGAATAAACAATAATAAGCTGACATGAATTTTGTTATATACATAAAAACGAGCAAGAAAAAGATATCTGATTACGGGTATTTTGAATATCAGAATAATGTAACAGTTTAGTATTTTGAATTCGTTCAAATTCTTCGGCTGACATAACATTGTTTACGGCTATTTTGATCTATGATTAATTATGAGGTTACTTACTTTATGCCAAGTGTCGTTGAAGAAAAAAAGATATGAATCCAAGTGTTGTGATCTGATTATTATCCTAATATTTTTAAGGCACGCATGAACTTTAAATTTTAATTAAAACAAAATTGGTAAAAATTCATAATTTATATTTTTGAATTGTGCAAAAAATTAACATTTTTGTTTATAAGCATATAAAATAGTATTTTTAATTAAAAATAATATTTATTATACTTTTATATTCTTGATATAATAATTTTTTTATAAAAAGTTTGAACTTTTAGTTGCTTAACATTTTTCAAAAAATTAAATATTGGTAATTCAGGGGAAAGAATAAAAGAAAAGAAAAGAAAAGAACACGTGTTAGCATTGGTGCTTGGGGTTTAGAACCAGAAGGCATGGGGCAGTTCAGTTCATGTAACTAGAGCGCGGGGCGCAAGATAAATAATGTACATAAACTACAATGACACACTATTAATTAATTATAATCTAGTATTCATGATATCGACAACTTTTCACAATAAGATAAGATTCTCAAATTCAATGCTCATGGATTATAATTATTCCCATCCATTAGTATTAATTATGAAGAATTATGATATGATCATGAGCATGAAACCAGAAAATATTTTTTCTTATATAAACTTTCAATTCTTCCATACATGCGTATCTGCTTGATAAAAATACAATGATGACCATTGCTTTCCGCATTTAATTTCGGGGTGTTTTGCTTTTCCATTTTTATTCTCTGGTTATTATAATCATCATTATTAATCAATTCGTAGGATTATTATAAGAAAAGATGATGGATATGGATTTGCAAGCCTCATTAGGCTGAGTCCCATAATTCTCATACTAATAATATATATTAATCAAATTTATATTGACATGAAAAAGAAAAGAAATGAGGCGTATTTCTTTTGGGCAATGAATGCGAATATTTGAAATTATGAACAATTATAAGCAGATGACATAAAGAAAGAAAGGGGAATATTTGTAGAGCAAGGTGGGAGTGGCCGAGTGGGACCGATGATGCCGTAAGCTGTGTTGGAAATTGGAAGCTAGGGAAGAGAAGAGTACGGTAATGGATGTTGGTTTTGTCCCAAAAGAAACACAACTACATTAAATTAAATTAATACATAAATATATGTCTATAAGATTTGATTGAAAGTGAGAAGAGGCCAAACCTGACAACATTTCTGTTCAGACTTTGCCTTTCCTTGTTTTTTTTTTCACTTAGGCAGTTCTCTGTGTTCTCTTCTGCTTGACACTTGCCATTTCTGAATTTGTTTAGTGAATATTCCCTCTTAGTGGCTTCAATTCACTAATTTATCTTCTTCTATATAGATTATAGTTGAACAACACTTTCTGTCACATTCATGCATAGATTATAGCCATTTAGTTTGTCGCAAATGGCAATGACAATGCCTCTTAATCTAAGGAATAAGCTCAAGACCCTCTGTGCTTGTGGTGATGGCTGGTCTTATGCTATTTTCTGGCGCTTTCATCCCAAGAATTCCTTGTAAGCGTTTGTTACTCTGTCTCTTTTTTTAATTTTTTTATTTCTTGTTTTGTCCTGATTGTGGGCTCTAGAAGTTGAAAGGTTTCTTCTTTCATTGATAAAATACTCTAAATTATCACATTTTAGTAAAACTTGTTCAACTCTATGCATCAGGGAATAAGTTGACTGTTTTCACGTTTCAGTTTCATTTGATCTATCTCACTAGATTGCATGTTTGAAATTCCCATAGGTTGTTGACTTTGGAAGAAGCATACTATGAAGAGCAACTGGGAGAAGAGATTGTCAACATGCTTCCACAGGTCCACTTGCTGGGTGAAGGGTAAGCTTCAATTTTTGTTGTTTTAAGTTTTGCTTTTCCAAAGCTACATAGTTTTCACCAAACCAATCAAGTAAAACTGGAGATTCATTTCAAGAAATTAAGTGCAAAATCTAAATGCATGTTCATATAAATGAAAGACAAAGGGCTGATACAATTGCTATATCCTATCTAGAATTGTTGGTGAAGCTGCTTTCGCTGGCAAGCACAGTTGGGTGCACTCAGACGGTCCAACTCAAGAATGGAATTTGAAGGGTCAGAATATTTGTGAGGTATTGCTTTCGATTGTTCACCTTTTGTTGGGTACCTTTTATTTTCAAGGTTCTATTGCTCTTGCTTTTTTTCCACTTATACTTAGGAATTTTGTTTCTCTCTGCAGGATGATTCTGGATTGCATCAACAATTCTCCTCTGGGATAAAGGTACTACAAAGGAAGGAAAATGTATTTGATAGTTGAAGTTCAAAGCTTCATATTTTTTCATATTCCCTCCCTAGTCAACATTTCTTCCAATGCTCAAATATAATTATTTTGGTTACAGTTACCAAGATCACATGCAATTAGTATCTCAATACCATATGAAGAATGCTTATTGATTATCTTTCTTCTTCGAAGCCGTGAGCAGTATATATTGATGAACAGTTCTGTTTTGTAGACAATTGTGGTCATACCTGTCAAAGCATGGGGAGTGGTACAGTTTGGATCCAGACAGAAGGTTAGCACCGTGAAAGAACATCAATTTATGACATCATGCATAAATCGATTTTTGCATATAGGTCTTATCATGATAAGACAATATCATGCACAATATGTCCTGGTTTTTTTACTAACTTTGAATTGATAGATTCCGATTTGTTATAGAGGTTTAAATGATTTTTTTAAAACAGCAAGCATGTTCTGGATAGTTTAATAATTCATATTATATAGAAAATGTATAACTACTGTTTCAGAAAAACAGAATCTTAAATCCGCCCTTGTACAAATTGATTTAGGTTTAACTACTTAAACCTTCTGAGTCTTGTAACTATAATCCAAATTACAACATTTCAAATTGTTGAAGCTTGACCTGACTGTCAATAAGGTTGAATTTTTGTTTAAAGTTGTAGTTCTTTATCTGAAAGATTGGTACGTAGAAGTTTATACTCATGTTTCATCTGGAATATATGTTATAATTTTAAACAAGAACGACAATTGGTTCAATACTTACCTGAATTATAATGTGCCTTCTCAATTTTTACTAGCTCAAATTTTGTTATTACCGTCATGCCTGATAATTAATTAATGGTCTTGAATGTTTATCTACACTGTTGTGTATCTGAGTGCTAATGGACCATATCATAATACTTTCATTGCTGCAGATTTTGGAAAGAGTGGAATTTCTGGAGCAAACACAAAGCTTGCTCATGGAGGTAGAGGATGATATGGGTGTGCTTGACGTCTCAGAAAATGCAATTTTATCACTGGATTGCGAAAATAGTGATCTAAATGGGTTGTTGGCTCCCATTTCCTTCGAAAATTCATATCATTTGAATTCCAAACATGCTCAGGATGAAAACTCTATAGAGCTACTGAGAAAGTTTTTTACTTCCTCTAGTTCCAATGGTCTCTTTTCTTCCGAATATAAGACTTACGAAGATGGAATGATTTCGTTGCAAGGAGATTCTTCTTGTGTTGGTGACGAGCCTCAAGTTGTATTTTCAGATAAGGATAGTACTGATTTGCTTTTGAAGCCTAACTCTTCTGTGGACAGTTTAATTGCCAAAATCCCCTCTTTTGGTGCATGCAGTGGTGAAGTATCTTCTTTTGATATGTTGGAGCAACAATTGGTATCTGAAATAAGGGCACAAGAAGTTGCTGTCATGTTTTCTACAGAAGAAAATGCATTTGATAGTAGCACACTTCTAGCTCAGGATTCAGAGTTGACCTCATTGGACAGAGAGTCATTTCAAGATAAGTTACAAAATTCACTGGATAACCAACATTGTTCTCAATCTAGTATTGTGACAGATGTTAATTTCCAATCAAGCTTAAATACATTGCATGGATTCTCTGAGAACTTAGAGCCAATTGATATGTCAGAAGAAATTTTGAAGTTCAGCTCCATGGATGACCTTTGCCATTGGTTTTCTCTTTCTCAACAGGATAGTATTTGCAAAACAGGAATTGCACTGGATAACACCCTTTCTGAATCAATAGAATTTAATCCCACTTCCTTTGATCTGGTTGAAATTAATTCCTTAAATGATACATCAGTGACATGCCTAGCTGGGCATAATTCCAACTCAGATGGGAAAGAAACATCTGTAGCTGTGCATGGCTATGAAAATGGTCTCTTGGATGACATTGAACTTGATTTTAGCTACGATCAAGCTGATGAATGGTGGAGGAATATGCTTACACCAGTGGTGAGTGCTGCTATTGATAGTGGCCTTTCTGAATGCATATCAGAGTTGAATACTGATACACAGACATGCAGTCGAAAGAGATTATTCTCAGAGTTAGGAATTGAAGAGCATTTGACGGGTGGGACAAATTACAGCCCTTTTAATAGTTCTCATTTTAAGTATGAATTATCATCCAATAAAAAGCAGATGGTAGAATCTCCATTAGTAAATAGAAATCCAGCACATCTCACCAACCTTCATAGGGACGAGGCAAAAGCAGACTTGATGATGCAGCCCCTTTGTGACTTAGACAGCACAAACAATCTTCTAAGCAAGAACGATTCATTTATGAAATTTCAAGTAGGCATGTGGGTTGATGATAGCCATAGCATTAATATTGGGAGGGCTGCTCAAGTGCACCCTCAGAAGCCAGCTGAACCTACAAAGCCCACCAGGAAGAGGGCTAGGCCGGGAGAGAGTACTAGACCACGGCCTAAGGATCGCCAGCAGATCCAAGACTGTATTAAAGAGCTCAGAGGAATCATCCCCAATGGTGGAAAGGTAAATGAAGCTTTAACTGACCTATGCTAAGAATAAAATTTCTAATACGTTTTTTTGTAAGGGGATGGTCATATCAAATACAAACTGATATTTTGTCTGTATATGATGCAAAATTTTCAGCTTCATAAAATTTTCCCAATTCAATCCTTACAATTTGTGACAAATTTATTCATATTCTCAGCAACAACTTTTTTGTTTCTGTTGGATGTAGTACCTAGTGGGATAAAGCTTTTATTGTTATGGTTGTAGAGTCTAGTATTGACAAATGTTTTTTCTGATTTGACAGTGTAGTATTGATTCTTTGTTAGACCGCACCATCAGATACATGCTTTTCTTACAAAGTGTCCTCAAGTATGCAGACAAGCTACAGGAACCAAATGAGCCAAAGGTAACTGATCAAGCTACTTTTCTACATTTTTTTTACAAATAAACATTTCTAATCTTCATCAGTCAGCATCAGATATGATTGGACTTGGTTGGATGTTTAGCTTATTGAACAGGCAGATGAAGTGGTTCTAAAAGACAGTGATGTGAGAGATGGCAAAAACTGTGGCATTACATGGGCATTTGAAGTGGCACAACAAACAATGCTATGCCCAATTATAGTTGAGGACATGAGCTCACCTGGCCAAATGCTTATAGAGGTATGATAAAAATAAGAATGCATGTTTTACATGTCGTCTGCTATCCTTTTGATTACTTTGCCTCAGTGAATTCATTGGCATTTCTCTGTTGCAGCTCCTTTGTGAGGAGCAGGGTTTCTTCCTTGAGATAGTTGACATAATTAGGGGTTTTGGGCTGAATATCTTGAAAGCAAAGATGGAAATAAGGAAGAACAAACTATGGGCACGATTTATTGTTGAGGTAAATTGAATATTTAATTGTAATATTAGAATACAACATTTAGAATGATGGCATATGTGATTGCAATTTTCTTTCTCATTTTGGAACCTTTGTCAAAAATTAATACTAGCTTACTTTGTGCTACAGGCAGACAGACATGTGACAAGGATAGACGTATTTTTGTCCCTTATCCATCTTCTACAGCAAACAAACACCTCCAACATTGATTCTGCTAAAAAGCATTGCAATGTTATTGATGCCAATGTTTCTTAACCAGATAATTACCAGAAAACAGTGATGCCACTAATCATGGCCATGACAGAAGCACACAAGTGATTTGAGAAAAAACTTGAGCACATAATGTTCTGCAAATTAGATTACCATTCCATTCCACAGGTCCTAGAAACTGGGTCCGTGTCTGTACATAAATGATAGATTAGGATACACTTAGTAAAACTGCAGGTGATCTTTCTTCCCAAGTTAGTTCCTAAGATAGAAGCTGTGCAAGTGATGAAATCTAAGGTGCAAAATTATATATAATGAAAATGCCTAGTTCTATGTTGGGTGAATATTTGAAAAATGCAAGAGATAGTGCAAAAACCAGCAAGACATGTTAATGGAGTGAACCGGATAATCAAACTGGGCTAACCATGAATTCCTCCAGTGTTCATGTTGTTTCATCTCATAATTATAACACATAAATGTATAAAAGTTAGTGTGACTCTGGAAATTCAAGGTTTATTCAGTCAACTTTGTGTTTCTATGCGCCATAAGCTAGTGTGACTGATCAATTATATTTATGAGTATCCACATACGCATATTGAGTGATGCCTTTACATATTCTAGGAATTATTGTTAGATTCGTATGTGTCCATGCAGATGACAAATAAAATAGTTGAAATAATATCGCAATTCTCAATGCCTATTATATATAATAGATTACACCAACATTGATCTACATCCTTATGCAGAAGTTATAAACTACATTATTAAATTTGAATTTTGAGCGTAACTCGATTTCAAAAACAAAGTTGTAAGGAGATGATTATTTCAGAAAATAGATGGGGCAGTTTTTTATTTTTTCAATCTACTATGGCTTAATTTTAGGGATTTAGTATATATTCTCTTGAATTAGAGTTAAGGTTTATCTCAACTCTAAAAGTTAGGTCACTATTTAGATAATGATTTTTTTAGTCTTTATAAGTTGTATCTTAGCCATCATCAGACTTTAACACGTGTAATTAGAAATATGGTCCTTGGTGTAGTCTATAAAAGCAACTAAAACAATATGCAACAGTGGGGTGACAAATCATCCATCCAAAATAATTGAGAAGCTGAGAAGCATGTATTACGAATAGGTGTGTTCTGCAACAACAATTTTAAATAGCACTGGTCAAAGTATCTACAAAAGCAACTTTTGATAGTTGTTTGGCTTTTCAACAATACTGCAAGTAGCTAAATAAGTGCGCTATATTATGTCGTTCCAAAATGCTATAAGAAGCGAGCAATATCATGGAATCTTCTTTCTATATTCCACTACCTTCATTTATCTGAAGTATTTAAAAGCTTTTATTAATAAAAGTCCTACTCATGATCTAATTTGTTCTCCTTTTGAGTAAACTAGGGAAATTCAAAGTAACATCCATACATAGATGTTTTCATTTCATTAATAGATTCATCTATGTCCGAGAAATTATGACGACAAAAACAAGATAGTTGGATCGCCATCTCAATTGCCAAATATAATCTCTTTCATAAGCAAGCACCCAAATTGATTTCCTGTTATAGGACATTTTATTAGGTAATGGTGAACAAAAGATTGTATTAATCACAGACATGGTCCTTGCTAGCTGTAGTTTTCCAATCCCTTCATAAAAAAAACTTAAATCTATAACTTGATGTGATATGATTCATCCACATATTTTGTACTCCGGACGCATGCTTTGTACGAATACTTAACTAAAGTAGGCAAAGTTGTGTTGTTGCAACCGACAATTTTATACTTTGATTAAGACTACGTTAGGACTTAGAACTTGAAGAGAATGGTGACACAAGTACTAATGTACTATAAAGCAACTTTTGTTAGTTGGATTAACTTTTCAAAAGGAAAATGTTTTATAAAAAATTAAAATGTACGACCAAAATTTGTTTTGATTTTAGAAAAAAGAAGAAGAAGAAATCACATATAATATCATATAAAGTATTTTTAAATGAGTCATATTCGTTACGTTAATAAATTTTTAAAAAATATACAAATACTATTTCAATTATTAATTTGAAAGTTCTTATCAAGTAAATTAACTTTATAAAAATTGTATGTAAAAGCAAAATTTAAAAGTACTCTATCATATAAATTTATTTCAACGGGTATTATATTTTTAAAATGTAAATATATATTGAAATTTGGATTAAAATTATGTGAAATCTAATATGTATGATTATAAAGATAATATAAAATTATTTAATAGTTAAATTAATTAATTTTATATTTTATAAAAAGTTTTATGAAGAGGTATAAGTGTGCGAGTATAAAAATATGTGATAGTAGATCCTAAATTTTTATATCAATAGAAAAAGTTTGATAAAAACTTTAGAATGCTAAATGCTATGAGAAGAAACCAATATGTAGTCCCCATTGTAAATTCTACAACCCTCATTTGTCTCAAAATGTGTTACGCTTTTAAAATAAAAAAGGTCCTATTCATGACCTAATTCAGTCCATTCTATTTCCTAATTCCTAATTTTATTATTATCATCCATGTTTAGACAGCGGAGGAAGCATCTGATCAACGACCCACTAAGAATCGTGTGCGGTACAACAGGCAAGCAATGCTAGACATGGTGGACCAAGTCATATGAGATTAATTGCATAAGTTGCTGCCCCAAATTCTGGTTTTAGGTCAACTAAAACAAAAACTTTATGAATTGGCGTAAAATATGTGCAAGTACCTATATATTTGTCACTTTTAAGTACACGTTATGAAAGAATTAAATGACTTGTTACTACTTGCAAAAACTCCGCAATTATTTTGTACAAAACAAATTTGTGAGACTAATTAAAATCGTATAAAATATATTTTTAAAGGCCTAGATTGTGTATTATTGTAAAGAAAAAAAAACATTTGATGGGTAAATACTTTATGGTAGTATCGATATGGTTCAATATTATATTTTATGTGCTAACTATTTTTGTTGGCATTGACACAACTTGCATTTGTGTGCTTCTGTTTTTCATGTGCATATTTATATATACAAGAAGATGTAACCATCTATGTATGCCCAATCGTTGAATTGGGAACATTTACCTACTCAAAAGACAGTACAATCACTTGAGTGGTATAGTGTGCTCTTGCATCAGCTATGTATAAGAATATAATAGAGACTTGTCGACTTATAAAAGTTAATTGGCACACTCTACAAATATCCCTCCCATCCACATTGGAATTAAAAATAGAATGTTTTGTCCTGATTAATATGTATAAATACAAGGATACTCCTCTAGCTAGCTCGAAGCTTTTCGTGACATTTGATCTTCAGGGTAGTACTCTTAGTCACTAATCTTGTTCTAACAATATTTCCCAGAATTTCATATTCACATATATATACATTTGCACACACAATTCTAGTAGTGAACAAGAAGATGGGTGGTGACAAGGGAGGGGTAAAAGAAGTAGAATGGAGGATCAAGATAGAAGATGATGACACTCTAAAGGGAGTAGTAGTTGGTTGCATGTGGGCAATTACAGCAGGGCTAGCTTTGAAATTGTGCAAGTTTGGGAAGAAAGCATGGGAATTGGGGGTGAATGACACTAGAAAAATCATCCATTGCTTGAAGGTAGGTGTGGCACTTTCGGCTGTTTCTCTCTTCTACTACTTGAAGCCTTTGTATGATGGCGTTGGAGGAAATGCTATGTGGGCAGTGGTCACAGTGGTTGTAGTTTTTGAGTACACAGCCGGTAGGTACTACTAGAATAGCAAGTTAAGCTAATCTTTTTATAAGTGTAACAATTCATATATTAACAAAACATATATTATATAAATCAAATTTCAGGTGCTACGATATATAAAACTGTTAACAGAATGTGTGGAACTTCCCTTGCCGGGTTTTTAGCCATTGGTGTGCACTGGGTAGCTAGTAAAGCAGGGGAGCAATTGGAGCCCATAATTGTTGGTGCCTCACTCTTTCTATTAGGTATATATATAGACATTACAAAATTTTATGTACGAATGTTCAATATTTATATGTGCATATTAATTATTCACACAACTGATGGTTAAATTGATCTTGTTTATTCAGCTTCTGCAGCAACATTCTCCAGATTCATCCCCACCATAAAGGCTCGTTTTGATTATGGTGCTATGATATTCATCCTCACTTTCAGCTTGGTTTCAGTATCGGGATATAGGGTTGATGAATTGTTGGGTATGGCACAATACAGAATGTCCACAATTATAATTGGCAGTATAATGTGCATAATCGTCAGCGTGACCATTAGTCCCATTTGGGCTGGTCAGGAACTTCATGTCTTAGTCACTGGGAACCTTGACAAATTGGCCAACTCCTTAGAAGGTGACTTTTCAATATTGATATTTAAATGTGGTGTCATAAAAAATTGTTGCATTTCCCACTCCCATGCACTACTACTATATATTACTATATTTATATAATTGTATGTACATGTGTATTTCAGGTTGTGTGGCACAGTACTTCGATAGTAATGAGGCCCCAGAAGCGGGAAGTGATGAGGAATCTAACAAAAAGTTACTAGGCTACAAGTGTGTGCTAAGTTCCAAAGCAACAGAAGAATCTATGGTATATCAAGAGATTTTAATTAACCATGTAACTCTTAACTAATTGTTTCTCATTACTTCAATTTATTATATGTTCATAGTTTTTACATACATAATATCAAGGTAGCTTCGTGTTTATATGTAGAGCGTGACCAAAATATGATCTTACATTATTGTAGGCTAATTTAGCTAGATGGGAGCCTGCCAGGGGCCGCTTCAACTTCCGCCACCCATGGAAGCAATATGTTAAAATTGGGGCATCAATGCGTAGCTGTGCTTCCTGCATAGATGCTTTGATTGGATGTATAAACTCAGACAACAAGGTAATCAATCATATTTATATATTATCTAGTTTTACAGCCACACTACAGGATTACTTAACTTGGATCGCCATGTTATGCACAAATCTTGATACATGTTAAAATAAAATAAAATGGTGAATCCTGAGAAAATGATATTAATTAATTAGCTCTGTATATATTTGCACAGAGCTCTGATGAAATGAAGAAGAATATGAGCAGCATCTGCATGAAAGTGGGTGGAAACACGGGGAGTGTGATAAGAGAGCTAGCAAGTACAATAAGGAATATGACAAAATCATCTAAAGTTGATATTCTGGTTACAGAGATGAATAGTGCAGCAGAAGAGCTAAGGAACTTACTAAAATCTAATCCAAACTTGGTTAATCCACCGTCACATAATGCTGAAGGTATCGAAATCCCACTGATGGAAATAATTCAAGTGGTAACAGTAGCTTCTTTGCTTATTGAAATTGTGGGGCGTGTGGAAGGCATTGTGAAAGCCGTAGAAGAACTATCTCATTTAGCTGAATTCGAACCAGCTTTATGCGTCAAATCCAACACACATAAATATGATGAAGCTATCAGTACACTCCATATGGTTTGAATATATCAGTAATTTATATATGCTCTATTTTGTATATTCTTTCATCCGTTATAGATTGTTATATACATCACATCAGCTACGTGTAACAAACAGGTTTGACAGTTGTACATCCGTGTCCAAACAAATATCGATATTACGTTGAATAAGTGTTCTTCACATGTTCGGCCATTTTCTTTATATAAGCCAAGGAGTATATGAACTTCGATATTACGTTGAAATTATGAATAGATCCTCTTGTAAGTCCTTTTTCCTTTTTTAAGTTTTTTATTTCCTTTTTCCACAAAGCCCATGTAATCTGGATTTGCCATTGAAAAGAATGGAGCTTTTTATTTTTTAAAAACAAATTTGTTCTCTCCATTACATTTTTGCCACATCATTGTATAAAGATAAAACCTAATTTTTTTAATTAAGTTTTGTTTACAGAAGAAATACAACTTAGAGACGAAGACACGTGTCTAGATCTTATTAAACAAGGGACAAATGTAACACGTGATACAATCTTAGCTAGTTTTACTTTTGACAGAAATGAAACTAAATTTTGTTTGTATTAAGAATAAACTTACTACAATTGGGCCACGTGTAATCTCGACCAAAAGTAATTGTTCATCTTCTTTAATCTTTGTTTGTCTATTATTCTGCCGTTGTTGCTGTCATTTTATGCTATTATCGTCGTCGTGTCGTGTCCCTCATCATTGTTGTCGCTTGTTATCCCCATCACCACCTCTTGGAGCTTTCCCTCTTTTCTAATTTTCTGATCTTCAAATAGGTTAGTGTTATTAATTTATTTTATTATTATCATTATCATAATTACAATTTTTAAAGATATGATTTAAGTTTTTATTTGTAGTTATTAATTGTGTATTTGAATTTATTTATTTTGTATTTAAATTCAATTATTATAGAAATGAATAAAATTATTTTGTAATTGTGTTCTGATAAAATAATATACATTAAAAAATAACTACATTAGAATTAAATAAACATAACTTTATTTTAAATAAGTTGATATATTATATAATGTATGTTTTGTATTTAAAAATATTTAATAATTTAAATATAAAAAATATAGTTAATAATTATAGAGGTTTAAATATTAAATTAAGAATTAGTCTTATGTAAATATTATGCATTTATAATTTTTATTTAGAAATTATACGTTGTTTAGATATTTTATTACTATTAATATATGAAATAATATTTTTTTATAAAGAAAAAATATTAACAAGCAATATAAAAATAATATATTTCTAGTTTTGATCGGTAGATTTAATAATATGATGATTATTAGATTTATAAATTAATAATAATTATAGTTAATATTGATTACAAATTATAAATACAAATTTATTACCATGAGAGTTAAGAAGATCAAATTTATTTATAATTCAATATAAAATTTATATTTAAATTTTTTAACAATTGTAAATAAAAAATAATATATATAATTTTAAAAATTGTGTTTACATTTAATTTATAATATAAAAACATTAATTTTATGATTGGGCAAATAACTTTCTTTTTATGAAATTGTATGATTGGTATATAATTATAATTTTTTTATTTTATAATAATTACTTTAAATAAATCATACCTATTGCAAGTTTTTAATTATTTGATAGTAATAAGTATTTCATAAATAATTTAATCTATTCTTTTTTGACGAATATTAAGTAATTTTTCAGTTGTATTTAATTTATTGATCAAATTATTAATTTAATAATATTTCTTAAGTATGTAAAATAAAGTACAATTTAATTGCAAGATAGAAACTAATTAAATTTATTCAAACAACTTTAACTAAAATAACTAAATAATCAAATTAATCATATTTATATGTTTTAACTAATAAATATTACAAATATTAATAAAAATAAATTTTGTTAACCTCAATTTTTTAATTGAAAATAAGCTGCTAGTAATAGTAAAATTTTATTAAAAAATAAATATTTATTATATTTTTATGACTTTAATACAATAATTATATACTTTTTTCGTAAAATTTTTTTATTTGTAGATACTTAAACTCATCTCTAAGAAATTATTTTTTAAATACTTATAGATCACTTTGTATTAAGTTTCATTTGTATAGGATATGAAATTACTTAAATTATGATACTTGTGAAAAATAATACAAACAAATTTGATTTTTGTTGCATACAAAACTCTTCAAATAATGACATGTGACATAATCTTAGTTAATTTTACTTTTAAAAAAGACTAAAAGTTTCATTTATAATATGAATAAAATTAATTAAAATTGTGTCATGTATTATACTTGTTCCCAGTCATTCACATTAATAAGATTTAAATATGTATTATATTGTTAACTAATTGATTTGTATCAAATCTATCATTATTTTTTTATATTCATTATAAATAATTATTTTATTTTTATATTTTCTATACTTTTATAGGAGAACAACAAATTTTAATGAAGATAAATGAACGTTTCTTAACAGAATTTAATAAAAAATTATTAAAAAAAAAAAACAAATATCACAATTGTGAGAAACATTAAATATATATTATAAAAAAATATTAATTAATACTGATATAGTATTAATTGATAAAAATAATTAGTATTTGTATTTTTAATAAATTATAATTATGTTATTTTTTATATGTTATTATATATTAATTAAATTTAATTTATTTTTAAATTTTTTAATTAATTATTTTTTTATCTATAAAACAATTACATTTATACTTCTATAGAATAAAATATTACTTATAGATTAAAAAATATATTAAAAGAAGAAAAAATATTTTCCATAACAAATTTTTCTAACAAAGCATGTAAACAAGTTATATGTGACCCTTCGTTTGCTTATTAATAAGCTCTGAAGATAAAACAACTTGGTGGAGAAGCGTTCTAGTGGAACTTTTCAATTTCTTCGACCTTTCCACTGTCCAATGAGGAGGAGGCCTATGGCCACCTAGTAAATTTGTACGGTTCACAAAATATTAAAGCCTAGAATTATCTTTCGTATTCTATAGAAATCGATTTCGAAACGTTTTTCAATGGCCGAGACGATAAGAAATTATATTTCTGATTTTTTTTTTATATATTTAAAGACTTTACGTTTATCAAAATAATGAGGGGTAGGTGAGATTTGGTTAAACATCATAAGTTGGACCAGTAAATGTAAACGAAGATCAGAATACCGGCAAACAACATTAAACACTGTCATTTTTTTATGAATTTTTGTTAACTTAGTTGGGTTTAGTATTCAAATATATATATTCATTATATTAAAAAATAAAAAACATTTTTTAAAATAAAATTGTATTGATAATGAAGATTTTATTTATTTAACAAACTTAGCAAAAATGATGAAAGAGGGAATTACCTGACCTTGAAGAGTCGGGGGGAAGTAGAAAGGCGGGTTAAGTCATAACGAAAATAAGCCCTACAGAGAGAGACGAAACGAGACGAGACGAGACGAGAAAGAGCGATAAAACGAAGTGTGAGTGATTCAGTTGTTTTGATCGATTGATACAAAGTGGGAGGGAGAAGAGAAGTGAAAAGAAATCTCTGCGATTGTGTGTTTAGGAAGGATCTGAATGGAAAGAGAGAGAATGGGAGATGTAGCAGATAAATTGGCGTATTTCCAAGCGATCACGGGTTTAGAAGATCCCGACCTCTGCACTGAAATTCTCGCCGCTCACGGTTGGGACCTTGAACTCGCCGTCTCGTCATTTACTACTACCACTACTTCTTCTTCTTCTTCTTCTAACCCCACCGCCACAATCACCGACACTCAACCGCACCGTAACAACCATGTTCCCTCCTCCAATCCTCCTCCTCCTCCCCCGGGTTTGGCTTGGAAACTCATCACGTTACCCGTTTCCGTTATTTCCGGCAGTCTAGGGTTGATATCCGGCGCCATCGGCTTGGGCCTATGGGCCGCTGGTGGCGTCCTTTCTTACTCCCTCGGCTTCATCGGCTTAGGCTCTTCCTCCTCTTCCTCGTCGGCGCCGTTGGTTTCCGTTTCGGCGGCGACTTCCGAGGCGATGGAATTCGTGGCAGCGTTTGAGAGGGATTATGGGGGCACGAGGCCGAATTTCGTGACCGAGGGGTTCATGGACGCGCTTCAGCGCTCGAGGAATGCCTTCAAGCTTCTCTTCGTTTACTTGCATTCCCCTGATCATCCTGATACGCCGTCGTTTTGCCAGAGGACGCTCTGTTCTGACACTTTTGCTGCTTTTGTCAACGAGAATTTCGTGTGTTGGGGTGGTAGCATTCGCGCTAGCGAAGGGTTTAAGATGAGTAACAGCTTGAAGGCTTCTCGATTCCCCTTTTGTGCTCTCGTCATGGCCGCTACCAATCAGAGAATCGCGCTTCTTCAACAGGTTCTCTTTTTCCATCCCAATCCATTCTTCTTATAGATTTAATTTAATTTATGCGCCTCAAACACCCCCCCCCCCTATGTGCTTATTTATTTGCTGAAATTGCACTTTTATGTGTATGAATGTAGTAAGGTATAGAAATTGGATCTAACTATGGATTGGTTTAACTAGTTCACTCCCCACAAAGATCTGTGATCAGCTTTGTTGAGAGGATAAAAAAGGGAGGGAGAGAGATTTGAAAAAAGAAAGAACGATGAAGGCCCTGAACCGTGAAGCGGGGAAAGGTGAAATAGTATCTCTAAATCCATAATATACTAAGTTTTAAGGAGCAACTCTTTTTGTATTATAGCCTTACCTGGATTAAATAAGATAAATAAGTCTGACGGTTTATTAATGCCATATTTAGTCTTTGGTCAAGTCATAGACTCATAGTTCCTTCCTTGTGCTTCAGCCTATATTCACTTTGCCCCTGCTTGTGTTATTTATTGGCAACTGCTAACCAATGCTCTAAGGAAGTGGTTAAGGAATCAAGAGTGAAATGTTTTTGTAAAAAGAATGCTATTAATGCTCCTGTACCCGTGATAATTAATAAAAAAATTATTTTTTATTTCTTAACTAATGCTTTAGGTTATTGGTTAGCGATACTCTTATTTGTATGCCTTCAAATAATTTTATCAAGTTAAATATGTCACCTTCCCTATAAGCAGATGGTTGCTGTTGTCACTTCCGCTTTCAAGCCCCACGTTCTCTCTTCCCAACGACTATCTGCTATTCCCCAGCTTTCTGCTGTTCCTATTGAGAAATTTGTGTTTACTGGTTGATTGTCCCCCTTCCTTTGGAATTGCGGTCAGCCAACATGTCCTCCATTCTTGCTTATCCCATCAATACTTCTTTCATTTCTTCAGCCCCCTTTCAATCTTGTTTGTTCCCATTTGGTTTCCCAGATCTGGAGCTCTAGTACCAAGTTAGTAAGTCCTTGGTATTAGAGACAAGAAAAATAGGAGACCTCATTACTACTGGGGAAATCCACCTCCCAGCATCAGGGTTCAGATCGCAAAACCAGAATTTCTGAGAAACAAGAGAATATAAACAGCACATGATGACAATCCCAGGAGCTGATATGTCCTGAATGTTCCCCTCTATTCAGTCTATTGTAGATTGCTACTTATCCAGTGTGGTACTAACAACATCCTCTCTCATTTTCCATGTGCTTCTTAACTACCCTTTCTTTTGATGTGATAAATATAATTGCGTAAGGCATCAATCCCATGTCTCGTCCTACTTTTCCGTTCATGCACTTTCTTAATTAATTGGAGGTCTGTCTATCATAAACTTGGGTAGTCATTAATGGCAATTTTTTGTACTTCTGCGCATTGTGTTTTAGATAATAAAAATTTTACCAAAATTACCCTTTTCTAGAATGAATGAGCTTAACCTTACAACTTAACTATACCTAGTCACACTCTTCAACATATAATTCTATGCAGACAAAGTTTTAGTATATAAATTCTTTTCCTAATTATATCAATAATGTTTATCTCTCGTTCATTCCTCATATAATTCTATGAAGATAATGTTCTAGTATATAAATTGTCAAAATTGGGATATGTGTAATAGAATAAGAAAAATTTATAGAAGATTTAAATTAAGCTGTAATGGGAAGAGAAGGGCACATCACAATTATTGACAAGAAAACTATTCAAGATGAATTTAGACAAATGACTCCACCTTTACACTTTTTTGTATTTACTTTTAGTTTAACTTCAATCCAAGTTTTCTTGCGGTCGTCAATCACTTATACTAAAACTATTAACACTTAATTATCATGCTATGTCAATTTTTTTTTTTTCTAAATTATCACCTCCAATGGTTATGCAAGGTGGGAAGAGAGGAAAAAATGAAGATTCTATGAGTTTTTCATTCAATAACCAATTGAAAGATGAAAACTAAGTTTGATGCATTTAATTTTCTATCTTGTTTTACCCTATATTTTTATTAATTAAATGTGGCATAGTCACTTATCATGCAAAAAGAAACACATAAAATGTACAAAGAATTCAAAATAGCCGAAACTATGAATTTAACTACATATACCGAAATACGCAGAGAAAACAAATTTTAAAAAAATTATATTGATTCGAAAAGAAAAAAAAACAAAAAATTCTCTAAATGGAAGAGATGATTTAAAAGTTGGCCAATGATCTCCTCTCCCAATCACATTTAAAAGTGTGACCTTGCTAGTTGCTAAGTATAGCCATGTTGGTTGCTCATGTTTTCCATTAAATTTCTTTTGAGGACTAAAATGCTTTCGCAATTTACTGGTAACCGATTCCTGGTAAACTGCAATTATAAACAAAGAAATTAGTGTAAAATCTCCATCATGTAAGGAACAAATATACGAAAATAAGATATAAAAGCCCCAAAAATCTAGACTTATCATTTTTCTTTTTAAGATCTGATCTTATATAAGGAAGTGTAATTGTAATATTACTTTTCAACCCCATTGATAGGATTCAGAGCCTAAAATTTGTTATCAATGTATATACATTGAGTTCTAGAAGGATGGATTTTGCTTCATGCGCGATAAATTTATCAGGAACCTATAGCCCTCTATGCAAATTTTTGTGTGAATTATTTACAATAGTATGCATAAAATAAAATGGATTAGTAATGAGAAATAGTTGGTCATACACTACACCTGAACATGATTTTCTGTTTCTTTAGCTCAAATTTCAAGGCTTCAATGAGTTAATTTATGTGTAAAATACATATAAAATACATGCATGTGTTGTGTGTAAAACAAGACTAAAAATTAATGATAGACCATGCTAGTTTGCTTCATGAATATATTGTGGTTTTAGTTTTTAGAGCTAATGAACCTAAGATTTCTAGCTCAATTTTGACATGTATGTGAATTTCTGTGTAAAATATTAGCAAGTTTGATGTGAGGAAATGTTTGCGCACATAATGTGCTTAAGATAGATGAGTAACAAGATATTTATCCTTTTATATATAAGATTAGCTTTTCTCACAGTGTTCTTCCTTGGTATGCCATTTGTGTGTGTGTTGCCCGTTACTTGTTTACGCATGTCACAAGCATATTGAGGCAGTTCAATGCTAGTAGTTGAGTGGTTGAGCTAACACTTAGTGGCAAAACAATTGCTTGTATATGTTGTATGTAAGAAGTAAGGTTTACACATATCAAACAGTTATATTGACTTTTTGACTGTGACGAAAAATGAGGTTGCCTTGTCATTTTAGGATTTTAGCAATTAGTGTGACAATTATGTTTATATTCTGTTAAATTATGAATGGAACCGAAAGAATGTTTTATCAAAAAAAGAATAAAATGTTTAGGATATGTTCTTATGGAATAAAACTCGAGGGTTTAAGTGTCACTTTTGATGTTGTGTGGCCTTTCTTGTCAAAGAAAGAAATAATGATAAGGGGCAAATAATCTTGCGATTTACAGTATTATAGTTGTTAATAGCGTGCGATACCGGCGGCCTGAGATACTGCTGCAGTTCCGATGCTGAGCAATTTTGTCGTTGCGTAGTTGCGGGTAAATAGTGGCGGCTTGAGATGGTAGATCGCGTGTCTATCGCAATTTGGGGAAGAAAAAAACTAACCCTAATTGGTTAGTAAAATTGTGCGTTTCTATTTTTTAAAACACTGCATTTTGCTTTTTTTAAGGGTAAAAATGTCATTTGACCCTTTATAAAACTTATAAATATTATACAAATATACTCTCTTCCATCTTTGTCTACACAGTCCACTCCAAAGTGCAAGAAGTTGCGATTTCTCCCTTTCTCTCTTTCTGGTTCACCCATTCAATTTTGCCGGCCAAATAAGCTTTTCCTGTGTATCTTCTTTGGCCTCTCCTCTTCGGCATCACTGTTCACTAGATTAATGAGATTTTTCAGTCTATCTCCCCTGTTTTCCGTTCACTGCAGCAAGCTTCTTCTTTTGTTTATGACTTCATGCTTTGCTGGTGTTGAAGCTCTTGTTTCTATTCACACTCTCCTTCCCCATTCATAATTGCATGCACTGATTTGCGGAAGGAGATAAAGTTTTGTTTTCTTTGGTGTTTGATCATACTCTATTTTTTTTGGTCAGGACTTCAAGCTTTGATTTTTTGTTCATCCTCTCTGCCTTGGAGTTGAAATTGTCTTTTGCTGTTCATGGTTTGATTTTTTCTTCCACTCTTTTGTTCACACCCTCTTTTGCTGAAAGATATTTATCTGCACACTCTCTTACTTGAAAAGAAAACAACCCCATTCCATGGCATCTTCTCGACAAGGATAGAAGGAGCTTCTGCAATTACTACTTGTGACTTAGTGAAGCCCACTGGAGAAAATATTGACATTGCTTGGCAATGGAATAGCCTCAAAGATATTAACAACAAAAAGAGTGTTACATGTGACTTTTGTTTAAAAATCACAACAGGGGGGATTACAAGAGCAAAAAGACACCAAATGGAGATAAGGGGTGATGTCGATGTCTATAAAAAAATTCTATTAGAGATTAAGGAGAAGCTCATTGAAGCACACCAACAAAAGAAGGTTGAAAATGAAGAAGATACAGTTGATGATGAGAAAGAAGAGGTTCGAGAAATACATCTCGTTCGGGCCGGAAAAAGACATATAAGCGAATTTTTTACTGTTGGTTCTGCTGTAAAGAAGGGAAAAAATGTAAAAAGTCTTTTAGATTTGTTACTCATGAAGAAGCCAGAAGCATCAATTAAATTGGGAAAAAATCAAAGTCAAACAAGCATTAAGGATGCTTGTGACAAAGAAGCAAGGACAATGACAATTCAATACATTGCAAAATTCTTCTATATAAACTCAATCCCATTTAATGTGGTGAAGTCTAAAAGCTTCAAGTTCATGGTTGAAGCAATTGGAAATTATGGTCTACACTTGAAACTACCAAGTTATTATGAAATGAGAGCTCCTTTATTAAAAAAGGAATTAGAACTAATAAAGGAGATGATGAAACCTTTGGAGGTAGAACGATTGAACTTTGGATGCTCTATTATGTCAGACGGATGGATAAATAGGAAGAATAGGACATTGATTAATTTCTTGGTAAATTGTCTATATGGCACAATGTTCGTAAAGAGTGTTGATGCTTCTTTATTTGTAAAAATTGGAGAAAAATTGTTTGAGCTGCTAAATTCCTTTGTATATGACATGGGAGAGGAAAACGTTGTCTAAATAGTGACTGACAACGGTAGCAACTATGTTTTGGCCGGTAGTAACTTAGAACATCAACTTAAGTTTTTAAGTATTATACACTTCAATAATATTTTTTTATTATTTTTATCTTAAATAAATTGTTAAAATCTTGCCTTAGGCAAATATTTACAAGCAAGGAGACTACACTTATTTTGGACTCCATGTGCAACTCATTGTTTGGACTTGATGTTGGAGGATATTGGGAAGATTCCAAAAGTCAAAAGAACCATATAAAGGGGTTGTTCTTTTGTAGGATTCATATACAACCACTCCTTGGCTTTGAACTTGATGATAAAGTTCACAAAAAAATGGAATTAGTTTGGCATGGAGTTTCTAGATTTGCAACAACATTCCTTACTTTGCAAAGGTTGCAAAAACAAAGAAACCTTAGAAAAATGTTCACTTCGGATGATTGGTTAAAATAAAAAACAGTCAAAGAAACTAAGGGTAAGAAGGCAACTGACATTGTATTGATGCCGACATTTTGGAATAAAGTCTTGTATACTCTTAAGGTGATGGGGCCTCTTGTGCGTGTACTAAAGCTTGTAGACAATGATGCTGGGGTATATATATGAAGCAATGGATAGAGCCAAGGAAGCCCTTGAAAGAACCTTTAACAAAAATGAATAGAAGTATAAGAATGTATTTGAGATCATTGATAAAAGGTGAGAATGTCAATTTCATCACCCACTACATGCTGCTGGTCATTTCTTAAACCCCGAATTCTATTATTCCAATCCAAGTATTGAGTTTGATCCTGAAGTGACACATGGATTATACAAGTGCATTGAGAGATTGAGTAGCTCTGAAGAAGAGGTGGATAAAATTACAATGGAGCTGGCCACATACAAAAGCTGATGGAATCTTTAGTTTGAATGCAGCTATAAGACAAAGGCATACTTTGGCTCCTAGTTAGTTTAAAGTTTTAAACCAAAGGAGTTTGATTTTCTTTTAATGTTGTTTGTTATTTTTTAATTAAATAATGTCAATTATTTTAATGGCATTATAGCTGAATGGTGGGGGAATTATGGAAATCAAGTTTCAAGCTTGCAAAAGCTGGCCATTAAGGTGTTGAGTTTGACTTGTAGCTCATAGGGTTGTGAGAGAAATTGGAGTATTTTTGAACATGTAAGTAATTAAGTTCTAATTAATAATTTTTTTAACTTATATTAATTGGTTGAGAAAAGATATCAACATTGTTTTAATTAATAATTAGATTCACTCTAAAAAGAGAAGTAAATTAGAGAGCCAGAAGTTGCAAGATTTGGTTTATATCAAGTAGAATCAAAATCTGCCAGATCGTTATAATAGTTGTGAAGTGATTAATCCCATTGTTTTGGATGATATTGATGATTACAATCAGTGGTTGATTGGAGAAATGGGAGGAGAAAATACGGAACTTGCTGAAGATGAGTTGGTCTTTGATGATGATAATTTAACTTGGGGAGTTGTTGCAGAAGCTGCTAGGGCTGATGATCCTATTGCTTACACTAGACAACAAACAATACTGAAGAAGAAAGCTGCTACTACCTCTAGCTCTAGAAAGGAGAATAATATTATTATGCAAGATGAAGAGCAAAAAATAAAAATAGATGAAGAAACTGAAAAGGAAGAGGAAGAACACATTTATACAAGCAGTGCAGAGAGTGACAATGACAATGAAGAGGAGAATTTTCAATTAGAGACAGAATCTGATTAGATTATTAGATTAAATTAGAGTTAGGGATAAATCACTTTTAAACTTTAACTTTATCCTTAGGAAACATTTTTTTATTTAATAACACTCGTGCTATATTGTTTTGCACTTTTACTTGAAATAATGATTATGTGAAATTTCTTGAGTATTTATATTTAAATTTTGTGCACATAACATATATGTATTACAAATTTTTAAATAGCGGTCATACCGTTACATGCTATTCTGCTATAGTGTTTTAGGGGTTAGTCGCTATTTGCCACTATCCGAGATTAACAACTATGCACAGTATTACATGCAAACGATGACATTGTGAAAGAACATCCTTTGCAGAATCCTTTTCATGTGTAAGAAACAATAATCTTGTGAAAGATATGCATCCTTTCCCATATTGTTGCTAGTGTGCTATCTGTCTCCATAACATTTAGCTTGAGCTTGTTGTGAAGCTGAATAGAATGATCTGCATGAATTCCATTTTCTTTTATATAGAATAGAATTTGATTTCCAGTGTTGTAGAAATAACTCATGTTAATCATCATGAGAAGTACTTTCTTGTTGCTTGACTTGGTTCTTTGTCTTTTGAAAATATTTTCTTCCTCTTTAGTTAGTACAGAATGCCTGGGCTTATGAGGAAGATTTTGATTGGTAGACTTGGTTCTTTGTCACTTGAAAATATCTTCTTCCTCTATAATTACTACTGAATGCCTGGCTTATGCAACAAATGACCCCAAGAGAAATTGTATATAGTATTGTTAGAATATATGAAAAATATCTCATAATATCAATATTATATCTTAGAATATTTTATAGTATCTTAGGTTATTTCTTGTGATTAGTTTCCCTATTTCCTTAGTTTCTTTAATTCCCCTATAAATGCATGTTCTGTTCCTTAATTTAGTTAGGATTATGATGTAGTGTTAGTATAAATAAGGGTTGGTACTTCAAGTTTTAGATAACATTGTAAGACATCCTATCAAATCAATTCAGTATCAACTTTATTGTGTTCAGTCTCTTTTATCTCATTTTCGTCCGTCCATAACTAAAACCCCACAAATTTAAGAAGTATATCTTTCTATAGTATACTTTTTTTTTTGTATATTGAGTTTATATTCTTCATTATCTTACTAAAATGGTGTGCCCCAAGTATAATAGATAATAAAGTATTCTGACTACAGTGCTTTCATGGTCAACCAATTTTATGTAATCCAGGTTGAAGGTCCAAAATCCCCTGAGGAGATGCTTGTGACTCTACAGAGAGTGCTTGAAGAAAGTTCCCCAGTTCTTGTTGCAGCTAGGCTCGATGCAGAAGAAAGACGGAATAATATGCGCTTAAGGGAGGAGCAAGATGCTGCATACATGGCTGCACTTGAAGCTGATCAAGTATGCTTTTTTATGGGTTATGGTTGTTTTGCTTGTTTATTGTCATTTTTGTGCGGTCTCTACTCCATGGCTTGACTTTTTTTCGAAGCTCAACTTCTGTTGCTGAGGCCTTTATTTGGAAAGAATTGGCCTGTTACTGTTGCAGTGGCTTAATGTTGTATGTATGTCCAGGCTAGAGAACGGCAGAGGAAAGAAGAAGAAGAACGTCTTGCAAGGGAAGCTGCTGAAGCTGAGAGAAAGCGCCAAGAAGAAGAGGAGGCCAGAGAGAGAGCAGCGCAAGAAGCTGCAGAGAAACAAGCTGCATTAGCTAAAATGCGTCAAGAGAAAGCTCAGTCCCTTGGCGAAGAACCTGAAAAAGGAGCTAATGTTACACAGGTACTAAAGTTTTAGCTAAGATAATATTTCTCCTCTAGTGCCTTTACCCTGCTATTGGCATGTTTCATTAGTTAATATGTCTATTCAGCTTATAAAATTTCACTAGTGTTTGAGATCTTAACTTCAATTCATATAATATGGTTTCACTTCTTAAGCCCATATATGGTTTCACTTATGTGTAAGAATTTTACTTCTATTCCGTATGTTTTAAAGTTGCTTTAGCATCCGTCTCTGGTTTCTCTCTCTCTTTTTTTTGGGATCAGTTTTTGTCTAATTGTATTATAATTTGCATGACCTTTGGGTTTTCTATTTTCTTCCTTTCGATTAAAATTACTAGGTTTTGGTACGGTTTCCAAATGGTGAACGCAAAGAAAGGAGGTTTAACAGCACAGCAACAATTCAGTCTTTATACGACTATGTTGACTCCTTGGATTGTTTAGAAACCGAGAGTTACAGCCTAGTCTCCAATTTTCCTCGGGTTGTTTATGGACAAGAAAAGTTGACACTGTCATTGAAGGAAGCAGGATTGCATCCTCAAGCCAGCCTGTTTGTGGAGCTCAGTTCATGAAAATAAAACTTGCCAAATAATCTTACGAATACATAAAGAGGAGGCCTGCAAATAGGGAATTCTGTGATGTTTTACTTTTCTGTTTAAAAAATATTGACTTGATGAACAATTATAACATTAGATATATGATAGATTGTCGTGGTTTCTGTTCTTATTTTCCATTGAATCAATCAAGCAGATAGCGTTACATGGAGATGATTTAGAATAACCGATATATGTATTTGGCCGTTCTCTCAAATAGGAAGCTCCCCGTGTTACTTATCTATATATTTTGTTTCCGATCAGATCAAATATGTATTCCAGATTGTTGATAGATAGAGTGGTCGGGTAATAATATTTCTACCTTTGTCTATTGCTGCATTTGTATTTGAGGAATCCTAATTACACTCTTTTGAATATATTTTTAATACACTTTTGTTTGGTTAGCTTTTTTAAAAATTAAAATATTTTTTTTAACACAATTAATTTACCAGGTAAATATTTTAATTTTTTAAAAATTTGATTAATTATAAAAAAAAATGTTAAATAGAGTATCGTTAGTGTGTGTGTATTATATATATTATTCCGTCCACTCTTTGCGTGTGGGGGTGGTGGCTGGCTGATGTGTGGATTTTGGTTATTATATAATGCCTATTAATGTCGTATACTTGGATAGAAGGTAAGTGAAATTTTATTGTTAAGAAATATGTCAACTGTGTATAATAAATTTGACCAGGAATATCGAAGCAAAGCATGAAGCTCAGATAAACTCCGAGGGGGAATGGAGAATGGGGTATTAACCATCAACGTCGTTTCTAGCAAAACGGTCACGAAAATGCTTGCCGTCGCACGGCTCTTAGGATCATCATACGAGATTCTCTCTTTTCTAAAGGTTCTTAATTGGGACCTATGGTCATTTCAAGTGGCCATACGACAACCTAATCGTGATGCTTTCAACTATTGATAGAATCGGTTGAAATGTCGTCGTTCTGTTAAAAAGTGACTTGGTAACCAACTGTACCACGACATCACATCTGTTGATTCGATAAGCTTGCCTCAGATATGTTTTCATATATACGGTACGATTAAAATTTCACCCACAAAAAAAGATTCTTCTTTTAGGTTTAATTTTAAATGAAACAATTTGCTCTAGCTTCCCTATGGTAGATGTGATCATTGCATCACCAAGCTGGTCAAAGTTAAAATGCATAGAACATATCTAATTGTTCCATCCAACATGATATTCCCGAGCAATTGACCAAATGTGTGAAAATCTTCATTATGGTTAATCAATTAGTCTTTCCAACAAACGTGGATTTTATCCTTAAGTTTTCATTTTCTTTTAAATTGACATTTCCAATGCTGCCCAAGTAGAACTAATAATCATCCACAGTTTATACAAAAACAAATAAGTGATCTCCGAGACTAATATCCATATAGAGAATGTACAGCAAATAACAACAATCGAGTACAGGTGAAATGCCAAAATGGACATGTAGAATATATATGCATCAAAACACAACAACCAAACCATTTTGGAATGATTTATAAGATTAATAGAGTGGATGCTTGCTGCCACTACCAATTTTCCCTGACAATTTTAGACTTTTCAAGTATAAACTTGCCTTCCTTGTACTTCTGGGTTTCCTCATAGGCTCGTTCATACTTCCAACCAAGCACCTCACGGCAGTCACAACAGTAGACATCAGCAACTGTGTGCAGACCCGTCGTAAGTTGTCTATCTTCCTTTGGCCCTACAGTTACGTTCATTGCATGGGAGAACAGAAAAGCTCTTCCACTTCTTCCCTGAAATCACACGTTGGAATCCCCCAAACATGTTTAATCAAATACAAAAGATTGAGCACGCTTGTAAACTAACTCCACAAGAACATGTTGATCAGTGGTTAGGCATGCTATAGTACATAAATTAGTGAAGTAGTTTAATAATAATAATAATAATAAGAAGAAGAAGAACAACAACAACAATCAATTGAAAGTAAACTAAAATTCTTCCAAATCCAATCATATTATACTATAGTAGATTGCTTATCTTGTTTGATCATGATGGAAGGTAGTAAATAGATCAAATTCAGAGCAAAATAAAAGTTGAAGCTGAGAGTAGTGATCACCTGAAAGGCTTTTGAAATCACATCATCATGAAGGGCAACAAGGTTTCTACAATTAGAGCAACTGTACAATCTGGGTCCAATCAAATTCTCCATATCAAAGGTTAATTTATATTTTATATCAACTCTCTCCCCTAGTCTCACCTTAATCCTTCCAAATAGAAAGAGTTCAATTAATTATATAACCAGATAATGAACATAACATTTTCAATCAAGTATGATTTTTCTTTTAAAACTTGAATGGAATTGTAGGTACCTGTCCCCTGTAGTAGCCGTAGGAGATTGATTGCCTTAAAGTTCAAGATGCCTCTTTTCATCAGCAAGTTCTCATTTTTAGGGTTCTCTGCTTCCTGGGTAGAAGGGATGTGTCACTCAGAATGTGGGATTCTGCTCTCAACTCTCTCTCTCTCTTTCAACGTAAACAGAGTTCAGATGTTGGATTTGATTTGTGCAGTGAATCAGTGCTTATGAATACATTTAATGACAGTTAAAAAGTTTTTCCATCACTAAAATAGTAGAATGAAACTCTCTAGAATTCAAATTCCAGTTATTTTAAAAAAAAAATGGTCGGTTACAGGGACTACTCTCTTAACACGTGTAATTTTTCTCTATTTTATAAATATATTTTTTTTGGTTAACTTATTTATAATATGTGTAGTTAGAAGGAAAAGAAATGAAAAAAGAATGGATAACACGGAACGTTTTTTTATATATGGTTTTTTTTTCAAAATTTAAAAAATGAGATTTTTTTTGTGAAATTACAGAAATATAATTTTTTTAAAAAAATTGTCATTAACAATTTTTGGTTAAAAATTGTTGGTGCCAACTTTTGATAATTTTTTAAAAAAAATTATCATTGTGACTTTTGATTTTTTTAATATTTTTAAAAATTATCATTGGCAATTTTTAAAATTTTATTATTTTTTTATTTCTAAATTTTTATACCGCACAAAAAATTGTCATTGGCAATTTTTCAACTTTATATTCTTGTAATTTTATATTTTTTGAATTTTTAAAAAAATCATATAGAAAAAAAGTAGCCTTGATAATAGTATATTTTCTTTTATTTGGTTGAAAGGAAAGTGAAAAGAAAGAAAAAAAAACTGACTACTAAAAAAAGAAAATTCAATTTTCTTTTTTTCATTTTTTCTTCAATTTAAATTATATTTTTTTCTCTTTAATTTCCTTTCATTCTACCAAACTGAGGGTTATAGAACAAAAATTAGATAATTCTCTTTTCCTTTTTTCCATTTTTAGGTCATTTTCTGTTTTCAATTTAGACAAATAAACTTTTGTCCAGAAATATAAAAAATTTGATTGTAATTAATGAGTATGAAATATTGTACATCCGATCTGTAATAATAGACAAATTTTATGGTTCTAGTTGCACCACATTTATAATTTATAATAGGCATACGTGTTCCAAACTCAAGAAACGTGTAATTTGAAAAAATAAATGATAAAATTTAGGTGCATTTTTTAAGTACTTATTGTGTTATTTTTAATTAAAATTAGAGATTTAGTTTAATAAGAAGTCTGTATTTACTATTAAAGTGAAACTCTAATTTTAATTGAAAAAAAATGGCATCCAAATTACTTAAAAAACTATACGTGTTGCCCAAAAATAAATTAACATGAAGAATTACTTAGCTTTGACAAAAGAATGCACAAGAGAAAGAAAGAAAAAACAATGGAGATTTCAGCCTTCACATTAAGGCAGAGAACAGTACACACATAATGAATCCAATGATGAGGATTTGAAAGGTTGAACTAAGGTGAGGTGAGTTTGATGAAGAAGGAGATACAGGAATGTTGCCAAATACTGTGGGATAGGAGGGTGCATGTGCAGGCAATGAACTTGGACTCGGTGCTGCATCTATATTTTCAATCCCTCCTACTTCACCCACAGATACATGAAGCTTCTGATTTTTTTGGCAATGACCAGGCACCCCACTGATGAAGTAGAAATCACCATTTGATGTAATGTTAAACAAAGAGTTGCCATTGTTCATATACAATATTGGGTCTTTAAGGTTGCACTTCTTGTAGGATTCCTTAGTAACTTGAATCACTGAATCTTGGCTTGGTGGGTATAAAAACACTGCTTAAGCGTATACAATAATAACAAATGACATTAGATATGCACCCTTTTGTTACTCTAGTTGGAAGGGGTCATTGGTGTAGTTGGATAACAAAATTGAAATGCAAATTATATGATTTAGTAAGTAGTATGGACTTACAAAGCGAGTCTCCAATTGTGAGATTGTGATACTTGGACCATTTGGCGTAGACTTGCGGATTTGCTAAGGTGGGTATGCCCCATGCATCTAGATCTCCAACTTTGTACTGGTAGCATAATACCTTGGTTTGGATTTGGACAAAGGTAAGCAAAAGAGACACCAACAACTTGTGATGACTTAAAAGAATGGCCATCTTGGTTTTACTCGAGTTGTGCTCACACTAACCACGACTCTTTCGTAAGATTCAGAGGCCTAAGAGGCTATGCCATGAGGACCTCTTATTGTCTCTATTATGGCCAATGGAGGGTTGATAATGAGATCAGAAAGGGGTCACCTAAAGGTCAAAAAATTACTTGAGTATCCTATTCCTCTATAATTTCAAGAGTCAAAATTTTGATACTATCACAATTACTAGCATCATAATTCCTCTATAATACAATGTATTAGTCTAGTTGGGTTGTCATTCGTTAATTTCTTTACAAAAAAGAAATGATGGTTAAGATTAAAATGGCCTCGAAAAGAGGCCGTCAAAACTGGGTAAGGGAAAAATATTAATGTGACCGCAAGGAACTTATGTGTATGGAGGAGTTAAGACAAGGAAACAGATTGGAGTAGACAACTCTATACAGATAATAATGTAATGTGCACATCACATGGGCTACTTGGCTGTCTATATTTGTTTACTTAGTTTGGAATTTTGGACTCTCTAATGTATTCATTGTATCACAATATTACATTATCATGTGCGGCAGAGATGAAACACAGCAAACTTTCGCCAACCACATCACATGGTTAGCAAAATGGAATTACGTGATTTACAAATGGTGATGATGATGATGATAATAACAATAATAATAAAAGCAAACTACAGCAAATTAGAACTGAATAAAGCAAATCCCACATGACACATGAGATCTACAACAATAATGGACTTCTAATTATGAAAGGCTCTGCCTATGTGATTGTAGACTGTAGTACCCGATACTACAGATCGTAATTTAATTTCAACCCAGCTTGAAGAAGTGAAAGCCTGAGACATAATCCCCAAACCTTAAACATAATAAACGACCAACATCAAATTGCGTTTTTGGCTTAATTAATTGGTTAAAACTTTCTAGGAGATCCGTGCTTGTGATGGTGCATGTGTGTCGTTCTATTTTGTAAAACTGTTTCTTGATTAACGAAGTGCCATATGATATGTCTATTTGTCTTGTTCTTTCGGGGATCCATGAGGTTCCCCTTGCTAGGCCATTTAACGAGAACTGAACAATCCTCCGCAAGAAACATCCTTATTCAAACCGAAATTTCCATTCCGAATTCACTAAAACATCAATATACTAATTTTGTTTAAAGAGGAAAAAAAAATTGCCTCACATCTTTCCGTTGATCTTCATGAATGACCAACCAATGAATAAATCTACAAAAATGAATTGTAAAGCATTTATACCGACAAAATTCAATCTTGAAATCTGAGGATTGACATACTGTTTACAGTGAAAAATGACAGTTTTGTAAACAAATAATCCAAGAGCAATCTTGAGACTGGATTAAGTTCTCTTTGGATTCTTTTAAGTGTGTTGTTAACGTAACAGTAAAATAGACGTTTCAGAATAAATAATTTAGCAAGAATAGTGAATATAAAACGCGTAAGATTGAATACGTAGAGGTTCTTCACAGAAAAGTGCTAAATAGGAAACAAATTGCAGAAATAAGAACTAAATTGCGTACAAGGAAATAAGCAAAAGGAACATAGATTAAAATACGGAAGGGTAAATGTGTAGAAATATAAACGTACGACTTCTCACAATAGCGAACAGCGGCCACTATGGGTCTCCTTGTAACTAGTGTCTGGTGCAGTACAGTGCAGAGTTTCAGCGTGCAAAGAATTTTAGGTGCGGTGTCAGGGTGCAAAAAGTCGTCCCCCGTAAAATAACGTTTTGGAGTATTTATAGGCAAGAAGACCACCACCGTTCTCCTCCTTTTGCGGGCATTTTTTAATAACTACCTTCAACTGTTGATGCCTATTATCCATGATTGCTTGTGATTGTGCTATTGGTTGGGGCTTCTTTCGTAACCGCTATCGTCCATGATCTCTTTTGCGTAGTGGTAAAATGTTGATGACTGCTGGTAACCGCTTTTGAATTTTGCAATAACTTGACCTATCAAGACTTTTGTTTTTCTATCTTTCGAGTGTTTCTGAGAGAAATCTAAGATGCTCATTTAGTGTTATGGCCTTAGAACAATTTTTCCTTGACTTCTCTTTTCGACTAATTCTAGAGTTTTGAGATCTTGTCTTGGTCTTATGAACTTAGAATATTTTCTTTGCTCATTTCTGTTTTTCGAGTAATTCTGGAGTTTTGAGAGCTTGTCTTGGTCTTGTGGACTTCTAATATTTTCTTTACTTATTTCTGTTTTTCAAGCAATTCTAGAGGGACTCTGGAACTAGGCTGGTAGATTTAGAATATTTTCTGACCACTTCCTGTTTTTCGAGCAGTTTTGGGTGTCAAGAACTTGGAAACTCTTTGAAAAGCCCATCAGTTTTGTGGACTTAGAATACTTTCTGACCACTTCCTGTTTTTTGAGCAGTTTTGGGTGTTAGGAACTTGAAAACTCCTCGAAAAGACCATCATTTTTGTGGACTTAGAATATTTTCTTGTGAGTCCTATTTTTTGAGTAGTTTTTTGTGTCAGTAACTTAGAAACTCCTCAAAACTCCTCAGAAAAAGCATTTAGTTTTGTGAACTTAGAATATTTTCTTGTCAGTACTATTTTTTGAGCAGTTTTAGAAAAAAAATTAACGAGGTGACAAAACCTTCTAAAATAGCTCGAAATGTATCTTTTTTGGTATGAAACAAAAAGGTCTTGGATAAATTTCCAATACTCTTCAAGTTTAGACCTATTTTTAGGCTTCTTCCTGATTCTCAACATATTGTCAAAATGTAGTTTCCTTCAACATGATTTTTAACTTAAATTTTTTTTTTATCCCAAACACGTACATAACATCGTCAGCTAGAGTCTATACCAAATTATGCTTAATTTTCTCAACATTTTTAAAAATGAAACTATTGAATTAGTTTAATATTATTATCCTAATATTTAACACAGTTTGAGACTATCAATTAAACTCAAACAATTTTTTATCAATCCATCCATATGGTTATTTTTTTTTTATATTTAATATATAGTAATATATTATCTTTTACTATGTATATAATAATATATTATCTAATATTGGAGTGTTTATGGTTTAATTTGGAACAGTTTAAAGATCATAAAAAATTATGTGATTTAATCATGAAAAAAATCTTTTGGTTTTATTTGAATAAATTAGAGAATAAAGTTAAAGTCAAACCAATCCAAATTAATCTTTTACACTGGTCAATTGTTTATGTTTTTACTTTATGTTTTATTTTTTAGAAGACTATTTTTCTAGTTTACAAATAAATAAAATTTTATTGAGTGTGTAAATAAAATATCAAACTAGTACATAGTTTATTTTAGTGACTAATTTACATCAAAGAGTTCACACTTATTTATTAAAAACTCAAATATATAATAAATATAAAAAAATTGTTGAAAGTGTTAAATCTTATAAAAAATCAGAACTGAGTTCAAAATACAAATCACAATAAAAAAAATCTTAAAATTTTTAAATAAATGCAAATATATGTAATAAAAATATAATTAAGTTAGTATTTGTATAAAAAAAAATAGAAAAAATAATATAAACTTAATATATTTATGATTCAGTTCAATTTTGAACATTAAAACAATCAAATCAAACCACGTAAGAAAATGCAGTTATTTCGATTTTCAATGTCAGTTAATTGTTTATTCGATTTCAGTTATTTTATATTATTTTAACAGTTTACATCAATTAAAACAAAAAAAAAAAAACAGTTCTTTTGAACATACCTAATCTGATCATGTATATCTTCAGAGTAAAGGTCAGTTTGAGTTTTTTCTTTTTTTAATATTTTTCAGTTCAATTTTTTAGAAAAAAACTTTGATAATTAACGCGTCTTTTTGGGGAAAAAGAAAAGACCTCAAGAAAATTAATTTATTTAAACACGCTTACCACAAACTAAAAATGACAACGTATTAAAAAGAAAAAAAGTGTCGTAAAATAACTTTTTTTTGAACGTAAACAATGGAGTCTGGTAACATTACCAAGGTGTTAAATTCGATGGAATAATAACGAGTTAAATTTGAAAAATATTATACTACGTTGACTCATATGGTACACAACCTATTATTCAGCTGGTAGAATACAATAAACCTATACAAGCTCACATCCGTTATAGTAGTAATAAATAACAGTTCAACGAGTAGGGATATTATTTCTCCCACGGGGTTGTGTCCCCGTAACATTCTTATCAGTCATCACGGGAATTCCTGATTAATCTGCAAACATAGCACGTTGCAGTATGATACAGCAGAGCTTATTTACATCTGAATCTTGAATGAAATAAATAATGAGACTGACCTTGACAGATCATCATTTTGCTCATTTGCACTAGCTGGGCTTTAGATCGTCACAAAGGCTTATTGAACACAAGGAAGGCAGGATCAGAGAAGATATATGACACTTATCAAGGACTATCAACATCCAGAAAGCAGTTTTCCTTCAGCAAAGAGAAATTATGGAGTTCAGCCTATGATTGTTCACTCGCCTGGATGTCAATTCACTAAAGAATATCATAATTATCAGCTTTTATGCAAATTCCTCTCTTTCCCCATTTTGTTCCTGGCTGTAGAGGGCAGCTAGCTGTTGTTGCAACTGTTCAAAACGATAACCAGGTTGATCATCAGTTTTGCAGAAACCTTAAAGCTTCAATTTAAATTGATCTGTGGTTGGACATAACATATGTGTAATGCAAGCACGAACCTAACATGGCAGAAGAAAATCAAGCAAGGATGATGAAATATAAAGGCTTGTAAAGAAACTTACTTGCACGTATTTTAACTTCTCAAAAGTCAATTCATCGGTCAAATTGATCATCCTGTCAACATAAGACACAGAAGGTGCAGGTAAACGTTTTTAAGTCAAAGAAAGAGGAAGGGTTACCAGGAAAGTCTTTTACAAACTGATTAACTTACCGTGACTGAAGTTCTGAAATTTTGGCCAGCAGAAGATATTCCCTCTCCGAAGCAGCTGTATCAACCTACAAAACAACTCAAACGTCAGAAGAAATCATCAATTTGATGAAAAGACAGTATAGGTTTTGCTACAGGTTTATGTCACCAAAACAGAGGCGAATAGTTTCTTAGCAGATAGTTGACATAATAGTTAAAATAATTAAGCATAAAAGTGAAAAGAATAAATGAACCGAAAAATTGCTTACACTTCCATTGTTCTCTGAACTGCGAGGTAATGGCGGCAATTTTCCATTCTGAGAAGCTGAAAAAATAGATTGTACTTATTATATCATCCAGTACTAAGAAAAGGATATTCTCAAACATAATCAATGGAAAATCATTCACTCACCATCATTTGCCTCAGCTGTTTGCAAGCTATTCAACAGATTCATTATAAGATCCTGGAATAATACAGAAATTTCCAGTATGATTATAAATTGGTAAAAGTTACATTGAAGTGGATCAGTTTTCCAGCAGGCACAAGCAAATTATAAGCCAGTTCTCAAACTTGTTTCCCTCACCTGTTGAATAGATGTCTGCTGGAAAAGATTGTGAAGATGAGGCACTAGAAGTGAAGCAGGAATATTGATATTCGCAGAATCACTGGAGGACTGACAAATTAATTGGCCAAAGAGAAATAAATGCAATGAAAGACAGACAAGAATTATATAAAAAATAAAATAATAAATTGAACATCCTAAATACTCTATAACCAGCAAAAGAATCCAAATATTCACAAAATGATGATAAACGAGGCTTGGTATATAGCAAATGGCAAATGTACAAACCAATTGTTTGAAATCCACCATCCAATCACCAACACTGGCAGACTTCCTCAGTGGTGATCCCTATAAGTTATGAAACAGGAAGAGAATATCAAATTCCTATAAGAATATATAGATAGATAGATAGATAAATGGATAGATAGGTTATAAATTGTCAACCAACCTGAGAAGATCGCCGTGAAACTGAACTTACAGGAATATCCTATGCAATAACATAGAGTCAGTTAAAGTTGTTGATAATGACAGTTTGATAAATAAGAAAAGAGCCTACCTTCACCAGATCTAAATTTTCTGACGTCACGGAGAATCGTCCTTTAATTTGCACTAGATTAGCCTTGGACTTATCATCCAAGGAATCTCTGAATCCTAGCAAGAGTTAAGATAGCTGATTGAAATATACTAGAATTTGCACACACAGCCTAATGGGGTACAGGATGATTCAAATACCTCCAGAAGATTTTATTGGTGCCGATAAACTATTTGCTGAAGCTCGGTTGGGAAGCATCAATGGACCACTAAAGCTTGGAGCTCGTCGTATATCACGATTATTTTTCTCACCTGATAACTGATTTTCATTCTCAAACCTAAAAGTAATTAAGTTGTTCAAATTTTAGCAACAAAAAGATCACGCCATTGATAACAAGAAAACCTCAGTCACCAAGAAGTATAAAGAAAGAAATTGAAAAGAGGCACACACACAACATAGGATTTATTTATTTGAACTTCTTAATACACTTGTTACATAGTATATTTATAGACTACACAAACAATATAGAAAGGGAAATGAGGATTCTCCAGAAAATACATACTTTAGAAAGGTAGATTTTGGGCTTACTAGAATTCAATAAAAATAAAATAATTGATTGCCTTGTTTACAGGTCAGTAAATTTACTTTCTATTTCTAAATTAAAAGCTATGAGTGACAAAACAATCGCCATTAACCATTGAAATAAATACGACATTAATTATTTTTCAGTTCCACACCATTAGCTGCAATTTCCTATGAAGCAAACACCTCTCTTGCATGAGGTGTCAAAGTGTTAGGCATGTTTTCAACACCGACACCTCAACACTTGTTTGTTTGAACACTTGAACCAACACTATCATGGACCAAGATTCCTTGCAGTCAAATTCTGACACATTCACAACATTGAAAAATGTGACAGCAATGTAGACGGTTGGATAATTGAGTGTCCATTTATCCAACAGTTTTTGTTACAACATGTCATTAAATGCAATGATCTTGACTCCATTGAATTTGAACACCCCTTTCACCCAGATGGACATTTTAAGACACTATTACTATTAAAAAAAATAAAATTCAAATTCTATATTATTTCAGGAGTACAATTAAAAGATACATTATTTTTTTTAGGTTCATTATTATAGGAATTTGATGAATATACAATATACACATTATGAATATTTGAATTTCTATTAGTTTATTTAATTTACTCTATTTAATATTTTGTTTAGATATTAAAATTTATTAATTCAACTGTTGGTTCATTTATTTAAACAAGTCAAATTTGAAAACTTGTCTAAAAATATGAAATTGAGTTTGAATTGATTAGCTTATTTATAGATTTTTTTTTCACTTCATCAAATCTCTCTTTGCTGTAACATTTAAGTTTATTAATATTATTTTTTTAATAGGCATATTTATGTCAGAATATAGAGCAATTCTTGAGTGAGCACAATGCCTATAAGTAATCAAAAGCTTAGAATAATATAAATAATAGCAGCAAAGATTTTAACATAAATTTTATTATTATTCTGATGCATTTAAGGCTTTTCATTTATTGTGCCAGTAAATACTATGCTCACATCAAACAAGAATTACTCTAGAAAAAGAAGTACAAGACCTTTCAAATTTTGAAGGTAACTAGTAAGTAGTAATACATAAAATTGCAATTGCAATTCTCATAAAATGATTGAGTATTTAACAACATCCAATCCATTTCCCACCAGTTAGATCAGCAACATGAATCCAAATGATGTCGTAATATTTAATTGTGAATCATGTCCATAGACAAACAGTTAACCTCTAAATCCTTCTTAACAATTTCGTCTATCATTTTTCTTAGTCTCTCTCTACCTCTAGCGATAGGGTTAGCACCATCTTATTTACTTGGCTTATTAGGGCTTCTAAAGATCTTCTCCACGCATGCCCAGACCAATAGAAAAATTTAGAAGTGAAATGCTTTCAAAGGTAAACCAATATAACCAACTCATCTTCCACTAATTATACTTTGAGCTAGCTAGCGTTGTTAGTAAATGCTCCATCACTTGAGATATCTCATGTGGCAAACACCTTCTTTAGGGTTTTATTTTTTAATCTGCTGCAATATTGATGTTAGTCTATTGTGAAAACTAGTAAATTTTAAATGTTACTTTTGTCCTTGATGCTGAGAAATTGGTTCCCTTGATTTTTTTGGCCCAGCACTTTCAACAAAGGCAGAAAGCATAAAACATTGCAGGTCTCAAAAGTCAAGACAGACCAAAGAGTAGCTCAAAAGTGCAATTTAATTAAGCACCAGGTCATGAGTCTAATATTCTACATGACACAATATACTTAAGCACTAATAAACACATCAATGCCTACCACTTCAGTCTTTCCACAACTAAGAGCCTAATGGTAGAAGGGACAATAAGTGGCATAAAAAGGAAATAGCTCCTTATGTATAGAAAAAAAATAGGTTAAATTATAGATTTAGTTCCGATACTTGACAAGTTTTTTAAATTTAGTTTTTATACAAAAAAAAGGTTATAATTTAATCCTTATATGAGTAAACATTTTCGGATTAGTCATTGTCATTTAAAATCCTATTGATGGCATTAGATGAAAGGAACCAAAATTTAAAAAATATTTGTATAAAAACTAACAAGTAAACTTTAACTGTAGGAACTAATTTTTTTAATAAATATCAACTATAAAAACTAAATATGTATTTTTAACTTGAAATAAAAAGAATAATTGTTTTTAAAAAATGCGGTACTAAATGAAAAAATTTCAAAATTTTAGACTAAATACTTATATTTTCAAGTAAACTTATATCTAGTGTAGTTTTATATAAGAAAAATAATATATTTTTTTTCTCATAGAGAATTTTTTAGAAAAATAATATTCTATAGTAATTGATGTATGATAAAAATTATAATAAAAATGTTAATACTGATGTTTTTATTCATTCATTTGAAGGTATGATAAAAGATAAAGATATAAAATAAAAAAATTTATCTTAGTCCTTAAGACTAATTTTAAAAAACTAAATATAATAATTTTTTATCGAAAAGAGAAACATTTATTACACTTTTATAACTTTAATACATTGAAGACATTGTTTTTCAATAAAAAAAACCTTCATACTTTTATATGCTTACACTCAACCTTTAAGTATTGAGATTAACAAAATCCTACAAAATAAAATAAAAATTTTAGTCAAGAATCAAGTGTGTTTTAAAAACAAGATTTAATTATAATAAATGTATTTTTTTTTCAATCCAATTTGATATTCAGTATTTTTTTTTTAATTACAATTAGTTGGAATATACATTTGGTCCTATGGTTGACATTTATTTACAAATTAGTCTTTATAGTTAAAAATTTATGTTTTAGTCTTTATACAATTTTTTATATATACATATATTGACCTCTTTATCTAATACCGTGAATGTGTATTAAACAACAAGGACTAATCCAAAAGCGTTTACTTATGTAAAGACTAAATTATAAATTTTCTTGTTGAGACTAAATTAAAAAAGTTATGTCAATTAAAGAAACTAAATTTATAATTTAACCGAAAAAATATGAAGGCAAGGGAATATGAGGGTAAAAATTTCCCATCTCAAGTCTCATCATTTATTCTCCCCAAATATGAGAGGTGGATTTAAAATACTAGCCTTACCATTTTATGCCATAAATTGAAGTCGTCCAAAATATTTGGAAGGGTTATATTGAAATTTAGCACTTATAATTATAATTCTATACCTCATTCTTTCAAGTGTGATCCTTGGTTCAATAGTAAAGTTGCAGCTTTGTAGCCTTGCAGTTGCTGCATTACACATTTACCCTCCCCAGACCCCACTAGGTAGGAGCATTATGAACTAGGCCTTTTAACCCCGCACCACCTTTCCTCATTAATCATTCAAGCATGATGATGACAATTGCTTTCCATTCTATTCCCTCCCTTTCACTTTCCGTTCCATTCTCTCTAAAACTTCCCAAGCATAGCCTAATATAAGAACAACAAAGACATAATATGAAAATATGATGTACCTTTCAAATGCACGCCCTCTTTCAGGCAAAGAATGACCAAGCACTGAGCCTGGCACCAGGGGCCCACTTTGGGTTTTACCAAGTTTAACTGATTGAATTTTAACCTTGCTTGTTCCTACATCCTTCTCGGAGGTAGATGATGTTGCCTCAGCAATTGATCCATTTCTCTTCTCACTCTGTGATATGTCATTAGAAAACCTACCTACTTGTAATGTGAACTCATCTTGTTGCAATTTATCTGAATTCTTTTTGCCCACAATCAATTGGGAATCAGTTCTATCCTGTCATGACCAACAAAAATTATTTTTATATATTTGTTTTAAGATAAAGAAAGATTAGAACCTTTGAACCAACCATGCAAGAGCTTGAGAATTTGTTTTCATCCTCTTCTCTCATCTCTGCAATATCATCATCATCTTGCATCTAATAAAATTAGAAAACATTTGTTTAAATCAACAAAAAAAAAAAAAACAAAAAACTAGTAAAGTAAATATAATCTAAAAACACAATAATCCATACCAATGAAGCTTGAGCTTTCAAATCATCAATATCAAAGTTCCATGCACTAACTCCTCGCTGATATTCACTCTAGAAACGAAAATATATAGGATGATTAGATTTCAATAGTTACAAAAAACAATAATTCTTTCATTTTCTGCAAGAAACAAATACATTTTAAAGGATGTTATCTGATAAACTTCAAAATGCCACTCTTTATCTTGCTTGAAAACACTTTTTATGGAATTGGGACCAATTCCATAAAATCCCTCTCATTTGTAGAGACAAGAGACTATTTTGCAGAACTTTGACATTTGCACAGATGCATTTTAGTTAAGAAAAACCCTTTATTTATTTTTTTGTTAATAAGTTTTTAGGTGTTTAGCCAAAAACAACGATAGGACTTCTGTTAGTGAGATGTAAGAAACTGGAGATTTTCCATGGAAACAATGCAGAAGCAGGAAAGAAAACTTTTTTTTTTTTCACAGAATTGTTTCTTCATGATAAAACTTTTTATAGAAATCTTCTTCAAGAAAGCACTTCTCAACAAAGAAAAATTACACAGCAAGGCCAAATGAGTATGAAATCTTGGTTATTATAAACAAGACTAGAAATCATCAGCTTTTTCTTTTTTAGGTCAAATTGCAAATATTGAAGTAACTATTTTAAGTATGTAATGCACTGTATCAATCAACCAGATTTGAATAAGCTCTACAATCAAGGTTTCAAGTAGAGATGGAAAGCAGTATCAAGGGAAAGAAAAAAATGATAAACTAGGCTTGTATCAGTCATATGTTAAAATGCTCCTAGAAACCATTGACTATATATAATATATCACATTATATGACAAAAAATATTGATTATCAGCCTTACTTGAGATATCGCTTCTTGTTCTGCAGAAGGCATTTTCTTTAGTGCTAGCTGAGCTGCATCCTTAAGCTGTGCATGATTTTTGAGATGTCAAGCAAAAGTAACAGAATAAATCAAATTATAGAACAGGCACGCACTGAAACATTGCATGGTACCCAACCTGGAGGGATTTTACACGATTCCACAGTGGTGGTAAATCAGCAAATAGTTTCTTTACAGAAAGCTCTGGAGGCTTAGCTTGTTTGAAGAACGAGTGTTTCAGCAACTTCTCCACAGTTGGCCTCTTTGTTTGATCTTTTACCAGGCACATAGCAACCATTTCCTTAAAAGACTGATCACAACTGGAAATACTTTAATTAGACTGCTACTACCACTCCTACTATAATTAACATAAAAAACACCTCATAATTTAAATAATCCCTCTTTGCTCTTCCAAGCCACGACAATTAAACCAAATAAAACCATAGATGTATCCAATAGCGACATATCTTTCCAGGCAGAAAGAACACCCATACCTTGGAGAACTTTCTGTCACGATCATAATCAAGTCCTGGAGGAGCATTCTGAATGGTCATCAGAAGAACCTATACATAAAACAAACCGTAAGTCTCTATCTCACCAACATATCATGAATTACATGCTCACAAGAACTCAAACTCGAATAAGCAGTGCAAATAGATACGAATACGATACCTTCATTGGAGGATATTTAGAGAAAGGAGCATGACCATGAGCCAACTCCAGCGCCGTAATTCCAAAAGACCAAATATCAGCCCTGTCCAATTCTCCAATCCAATCCAATTATCAAAACAAAATTAAATCATAGTTAAACATAAGCAGCAGAACAAAAAGGCTAATTATGCACAAGTATGAGTAACTGACTTGAAATTATAACCAGTTCCAGGTTGCAGTACCTCCGGTGCCATCCTGCAAAATCAAAACCATATCAGGTCAACACTAAAATAAACATACATTTGAAGTAAGAAAAAGAGAAGACTCACCAGCAAGGAGTTCCGACGAAGGTGTTTCTAGAACGCTGTCGATCGCCGGTGTCAAACATGCAAGCGGAAACGCCGAAGTCAGCGAGTTTGACTTGGCCATTAGAATCGAGCAAAATATTGCCGGCCTTAACGTCACGGTGAATGTGACCGTGTCGGTGCAGATACTCCAAGGCCTTGAGAGTCTCCTTCAAGATAGATCCAATAGCTTCCTCTTCGAATCCATCAGAATACGCAGCCTTCATGAGATGCAAGCAAGAACCCTGCGCCATGAATCCCATCACCACCCAAAGACTTCGCTCCACGACGAAGGAACAATACGCTCTCACCACGTTGGGATGATCGATGAGACTCATGGTTTGCGCTTCTCTCCTTATGTCCTCCAGATTGCTGTTGCAGCGATCCAGATCCAGACACTTCACCGCCACCTCTTCGTTGTAAGGGAGATAGATTGCGCGGTACACGGTGGCGCTGGCGCCATAACCGACTTCTTCTAGAAGCTTGTAATCGCTAGGATTAGCCGAGTAGCTTCTGCTTCCGCTTCTGCTTCCCATTTTAATTAATTAATTAAACAGTTTGTTCAAAATTGAAGTGTGCAAAAGGAGAGGAAGAAGGAGAAAGGAAGAGTTGCGTTTAGTTAATAAAGGAAGAGTAGAGTAGAAGCGTGATGAGGCTGAGCAACAAACAACGCCCATCTCTAACGGCTGACATGTTCCTTGTTCCTCGTCCTCTCCTCTCCACTTCGGACTCTCCCCCGTGGGACCCTCTTCTCTTCTTTTTCACTTTCTACTGCCTCTGCCCCTTCTCAGCTTTTCACATTTTCTCTTTTTCACTCACTTATATATTTATATTCCTTTTCCTTTACTGCATTTTGTTAAATAATTATTAACTATCCTTTTCGTTCTAAAGATTTTTTTTTAATTCCAGAATTTTTAAAAAGTGTAAGTAAATAAATGTTTGTAGTTGTAAAAGTTTAGTTAATAATAATGTACGTCAAATGTGTTACAGGTATATGGTGAGATAAAATATGTAAAATTAATTTAAATTATAAAACAATTACATGTCATTCCTTAAGTAAGAGTCTATTAGAGAATTAGCAAGGTTATAATAAATTGTACAGATATTTTAAAAAATATGTAACATTCAAAATTAAAATTAAAAAAATAGAGTAAAAAAATACATATTGCCATCATCAAACAAAGATAAAAAAAAAATACATAATAAAATATATCCTATTTTATAAAAATGAAGATTATATTTTACTGTATAAGAATATATTTAAAAAATATTCTTTACACTAAAATTATTTCTAAACTCCCGATATGATCTTTATTTTTATTTTTATTCATAATAAGTATGAAAAATATATAAAAATTAACATTTTCATACACACGTATTCATATTTTTATCTTCACGTTTTATTTGTCATTAGGATTGTAGACAAGTTGAACCAAATTAAATACTTGAAATTGAAGCTTAATTTTAAAAGATATATTATTTAAATATGTTCAATCTAAATTTAAATTATAATTTAATTAACATTCTTAGAATTTAATTAAGCTTTATTTATTAAGTTGTTAATGAATTAATTTTTTATCATGTTTTTTAATAAAAATTTATTTATTAATTTAGTATTTAATATATGTTTTTTATTACAAAATAAAGTAAAATGTCAAAAAATATAAGTTTGAATTGATAAAAATGACTTAAAAATTAAAGATGAAATATTAAATAACGGAAACGATGAAATTCTTCTTTATAATACGATTTTGAAAATTAGAATTAAGTTATAAAATAATAATAATAATAATAATAATAATATATGCCATGCACGGATGAGTACAAAGACTTGTATTTAATTTTTTGGCGGAATGTAAATATTAAACTTATAAAATTTAAATTTAATTCTAAACATTCTTACGAGTAAATTCACGTGCTTTGTAATATTTAAATAATTAAATTTTATTTTTAAATTGAATTTATTTATTTCATAAAAATTAAGTTTATTTAAGAATTTAATTAGTTAAATTTAAAATATTTATAAATGATTAAATATAATTATACCTCTGTTATTATTTTTGCTTTTTATTTATAAAAACATCTAAAAAACTAAATAAGTAAAGTTAGCTAAATTATCATATACGATGAAAGTCAGTTAAATTGAGATGAACAGGATGAGGGAAGGATGTAAACGAGAGAGGGTATATACAAATAGCAGTTACCTGTACTTGTATGAAAGATTAATCTCATACTCGTTTCCTATCCACGCCATCTGTCAAAGATTTACTTATTATCTACATATATTTATGGAACATTTGCATTATACAATATATTATTCTAATAATACAATACAAGATTAAGTTATACACATGTCAAAATTATCATAAAGATAAAAATATTAAAAATATATTACTTGAATATAGTAGATCAAGAAGCTGAACTTTGTTTCAGCTTAACATACTTTAATATCCACATCCTCTCTATTTATAAATGATTAAAAATCAATTAATTAAATCCACTATAACTTAACTCTTAACAAATTTTTACTTGCGAATACGAATAATATCATCTTAAACGAGACTTAGAGCTGAATTTGTTGAATAACGAAAGGCTTGATTCAGGTTCAGTTTATTAAAAGAAATAAATTTATTTTTATTTATTCGTGTTTATTGTTATTTTAAGCTGTTAAAATTTCAAATGAGTCACATTTTTACGTTCGTATATATATATATATATATATATATATATATATATATATATATATATATATATATATATATATATATATATAAACTATATCTCGAAATTTAATTTTTAAGAAAAGGAAAGTCACTAAAACATATATTTTTTCTAAAAAGGTTATTTTCATATAATTTATTAAGTAATTTTCTTATTACATAAATAGTTTTAATTTAAAATAAATTTTAAATAAAATATAGTATGTTTTTCTAACCAATAAAAAATATATAGTTAATTTAATTTTTTTTCTTTTCTTTTTATTATTTAACAAGGTCAAATAATCTTGAGACACTAAATACTATTCGCGTCTAGACTTAACAAAGAGAGAAGAAAAATATGACAATTTTAAACTCGAAATAAATAAATAACTCTTTAATATATTAGCACATTTATTTACGTTTTTAGAGACAAGTAAAATTCTAATAAACTTAACAGATTTTAACATATCTCTAATTCTACTAAAACACTACAAAGGATGAGAAATTTGTTTAACATTAAAAATAAGTAGAATAGCTTATTTGTTAGCACACTTATTTGTCTCTCAATAAACATGTAAAATTCTAATAAATCTAACAAATTTTAACATATTTCTAATTCTACCAATAAAAAACTACAAAGGGTGAGATATATTTAACATTGAGAATAAGTTTGATAACTTTCTTGGAATCATTCTTAATCCTAAGAAAATGTCTCAAATCTCAGCAATTAAAGGAGCCTTAATTTTGTTATAGAAACTGACAATCAGCTTTTCCTACGCATTATAGATCAAACCTCATGCAAAATTAGCATATCTAGATTCGAAGATAGTCTTATCAATATTCAACTTGAATTAGTCTCGTGGAGGAAGACACTGTCTAACACATCTTGGGTCAAAAATCAAGTCTTGGAATTAGGCCTGCAGTAATATAAAGAATTATTAGCATCATACAAAGCTTTATAAACTAATTCCTTGTGCTAATCAAAATGGTTCAAAAATATAAACTCATTTTTATTCTTCCATAGATACCAAACAAGATATCCAAATAAACTTTTCTAATACTGAAAATAATTGAGAGATTAATTAGATAAATTTAATATTAACTGATTAGAAAGACCCAGACTAAAAAATAGTATTCACTACTTAGAGAATATTAAATGATTTGAGACATTTCTAGTAAAGATGCAATTTCTTAACACATGCATTATAGATTCAAATTGCTCTCCACACTTAGGACAAGTTGAAGAGGTGGACATATTCCTCCTAAACCTTTCCTCATTGGTGAACAGTCTTTAATGAACAATCTTTCAAAGAAAATTTTTTTTAGGAAAGTCTTTCCAATTCAAAACTAAATTAAATATATCTTTACAATTAACAGAATTATGAAAAAAAGCATAAAGCAGTTCATATGCAATTTTAATAGAAAATATTCCATTTCTAGTTAGAGACCAAAAAAATATATAACAACTATAGAGTTGGATATATTATTAGGTAAGGCAACTTGAATTTTGGCCTAATCCCAGTTTCCTTTGGCAGAGAATAAGGCCATTGGAACACTTAAATTTAATTCAAAGGTATGACACTTTAGAATAGCTAGCTAGATTTCTAATATTAGGATCTAATTGTCAATCCAAAATTTAAAGGACATGTTATCTTTAACTAACCACTCCAAACCCTAAGAAAACTGAGGCCAAACAAAGATGATGCTTTTCTAAAGATGGGATGCAAATCAACTAGAGAATTTGGACAAAAAAAACCCTATATTTGTGACTAAAGATTTGAGCCCACAGATTAGAGCTGAAGGTAACTAACATCCAACATAACTTTATCAAGAATGTTTTATTCAACATCTCAAGGTCTTTGAAAGTCCAGACTTCCCTCAGTTTTTTGTTTACAAATTTTATGTCAACCAATCAAATGATATTTCTTGTCACTCAAAAAACATGTAAACCTCTTGCAAAGACTGTTGATTTCATTACATATTGATAAGAGGGTTAAGGTAGATTACATGACATAGGATGAGATGCTCATTAGATAGGATTGATCTAGGGTTTCCCTACCAGTTAAAGATAGGAAATTTATTTTCTACAAGGAGAACTTTTTCTTAATTTTATTAATGAGAAAAGCTAGGTTTCCTGGAAGATTTGTATGAAGGACAAAGACACTTACATAGTTACCAATCTAGTTATAAATATTGATATTTAAGCACTCATGAATTGATTAGGCAAGAGAAGAGTTAGACTTTCTAGAGAAAAACAGGGTTAATTTATTAGTGTTAATTTTTATGCTAGAGGCAACAAAAAACCTCATCTAACACGTTTTTAATAAAAATAGCTTGATTAATATTATCTTTTGTAATTAAGATAATATCATCTGCATAGAAAAGATAAATATCTTGGAACATTGGGTGTCAAAATAAAAAATGACCTAATCCTCACTCATAATTTTATCTTGAATAAGGTGAGTCAATATAAAGGGATAAAAGATCTTTCAATTGATATACATTGAAAGAGAGGAAATACAATGATGAATGAGGCTCACCAAGAAAAAATTCAAGCCAATATTTTGAAGAGTTTAGTGACAAAATTTCATCTCAGCCTACCATAAACTTTTTTTCAAATCTAATTTAATTACCATAAAATTATTCCTACTTTTGATATTATGAAAAAAAATGAATTAATTCTTCTAGTACAAGTGCACTATCAATTTTCTATTTCTTAGTGATGAAATTAAATTGATTAGCATGTATAAAGTTAAGTAACAACTTTAAAGTTAAATAATGACTCGTTGCATATTAATAATTAATTTAATTATAATTTTGTAACTAACTTTATACAATGAGACGAGTCTAAAATTTTTAAAATATTTAAGATTATTAATTTTAAAAATAAGAATAATTTTTGTTTCATTTAAGATGCATTTAAATATATATATATATATATATATAATTTATATAAATTCAAATATATATGATTAATTCAAATCTCTTGACTTGATAATTATAATTTATGCCTTTTTCTCCCTCTAATTTTCTGCAAGTGTAAAAATATAAAAATGTAAAGTTTTTTTTTTTTTTTTTACTTTTTATTTT